ACTGTGAGGAAAAGACCTCAAGGTCAAGTTTCAAACTTTGTCCTTTTTAGAATCCTGATTTTGTAGCCCTGTGTATAAGAAAAACTGCTGCCATATGATGCTTTGGTCAGAGAGGAAGAGGGTATTCATGTGTGTGTGTGTTTTGAAGTTGAAGTCATAGTCTATTACTCCCAGGCTTGCTGTATACTGAATAGCCATTTAGCAGTGAGGAGCTACTCTGTTTTCTCATCCTTCCTGGTTGATAGGCAGGGTGATTTTTGTCTTCCTCAGGTAATGTCAGAGCCATACATGCTCTGGAGACTCCTACTATAAGCATGGTGAACTGTATAAACAGAGAGGAAAATGTTGGAATTGTTTGGGCACAGCTGGCTCAGTAATGAGTTTTGTGGTGGGGTTCTTCAGAACCTAGGTGTACTTGCGTGGAGGAGACTGAGGCGCAGGCGGCCAGGACCAAGCTAGTGTTCAGTGGTTCCTTGTCTGCTTGCACTACTTCTGAGCTGTCACTGATTCTGTTGCATGGAGCCTGATGCCAAGCTTAGACCTGGGAAAATAGTACTTTGTCCTTGCTTTCAGGGGACTCTCCACTGGGGAGCCTGTTTGTCTCTTCACGTTTCAGGGGCACTTTTGTCATGCATCCTGTCTGTGCTCTCCAAAGCACCCACGGAGTCTTGACCTTCTTAAATGCCTCTGCACCCATGGATCCTTGGCCTGTGCACCCTGGGGAAGCTTCCAGTCCTTGCAGTCTTCCCCAAAGCCATTTTATCATCTTGCATTTTTACTTCTGTTTTCCTGTTCACCTTGGGCACTTTCTGTTTCCCTCGGCGTTTTCTGCACTGAGCCTCTTCCAAGCTGTTGTTATTATAGTCCACCAGTGTTCCTGGTTCCTGTTTTTATCCTTTTTGTCTTCACCTGAAATTCTGGAGGAAGACTAGTGTCAGCTTTCTTTCTCCAAAGCTGTTGTGTTTTAGGACTGCTACATAGTAAATGCTAGAAATAGTGGCATGGAGTGATTTCCTTTTGTACTTAAATATCCAGGTTGCCTTAATTTCCCTTCTGAGGATATAAGACTTTTGAAATATAAGAAGGAAGGGCCAGATATCTCAAAGCAAATAGCAGGCACTTGGAATGGTAGCTCTGAGTAGTTGCTTGCTGCCTCAGCCCTTCTCACTGATGTAGATTTGGGATTGGGATTGAGATTTGATCTATCCTGTACCTGAGGTTCCTTCTACCTCAGATTGGCATTCCCTCAGTTTTCCATAAACTTCAGTCTTCCTTATCTAGGTCACCAGTGAACCAGTGAAATCGCATAACATTGGTCAGACACTTGGATTCTGGGGTTTGAAATGGTGTCTTTTATTTTTTGAGTATGCTAGTGCCAACGTTGACTAATAGGAATTAACCTGAGTGGGGGGCAGGCTGACTGGTGTGCTGTTACTGTGGAGAAGAGAGGTTGTGTTTCTTAGGAAACTAGAAATAACTCAGAAATCTTCCATTGTGGGGGTGCAGAGGTAGACAGACAGCACTTCCTGAACTGCAGCGTCTAAAGAATTATGGGTTCCAGTGAACCACATATCCTGGTATTTGAGAACTGTTTTAATTTGTGACTTGGTTTCCAGTTCACCACAGAAACATCTCCTGTCTCCCTGAAGTACTGTTACACCCTACCGGTTGCAAACACTTTAGGAAGCCCCAGGTTTGTTGTGCTGAAAGGATGGTCTTGAGATTTATCCAGCCCTTCCTTGGACTGCTGTGTACCCAGGAACCTGAGTAGCATTGCTGGTGTAGATGCAGACTGGAATCTATTTTCATTCTGTGGCTGTGTTCAGAGCAATAAATATTGAATACCAAATACAGCACTGAGTGTACTAGCAATTTTTATTCTGAGTAAAATGCTTTGCACTATCTAGGAAGGTTACCATGAGCCATGTGATGTTACTAGCTATTGGAAAACTGGTGTGAGTTTAAGGAACTAGGTTTCTTTTGTATGTTTTTATTTATTTAGTTAGTTATTATTTGTTTGTTTTTTGAGACAGGGTTTCTCTGTAGCTTTGGAGCCTGTCCTGGAACTAACTCTTGTACACCAAGCTGGCCTTAAACTCACAGAGATCCGCCTGCCTCTGCCTCCTGGGTGCTGGAATTAAAGGCGTGCGCCATTATTGTCTGACTTATTTTTGTTTATTTTGTGAGGCAGGGTCTCTCTAAAACTCACTACATAGACCAGGATGGCTTTGAACTCAGAGAGATCTGCCTGCCTTTGCATCATGATTGTTGGGATTAAAAGTGTGCACCACCATGTTTTTTATTTTTAATCAATACTTAAATAGCCTTATGCTGTTTCGTTACTACTAGGTAACTGGACAGTTTGGCTCTGGTAAGCCATTGATTTCTGTGTTTTTATAAGCCTGATAGTATTGCCTCTTTAAGTTAACCCATAAATATCTAAATGAGAGACCAGAGCCCATTTGACGTGGCTAGCTAGTTAAAATGTTTTCCATGGGCGCAAATGTGAAGTTTTCTGAATGATGAGATGTTTTCAAATATTCTACCTTGAAATATGGCTGCTCTTTGATTCACAGTAAAGTTACCTCCTAATAAACTCACAATAGGGTGGAGACTATGCTAAGTTGAAAGTCCACTTAATAGCCCCAAGTTGTGGCTAGAGAGATGGCTTAGCAGTTAAGAACTCTTGCAGATTGTTGAGAGAATCTGAATTCAGTCCCAGCATCGATGTCAGGTATCCCACAACCATCTGTAAGTCCAGCTCCAGGGGATCTGGTGCCCTCTTTTGGCCCCCAAGGGCACATTCACACACAGAGATACACAGAACATGCACATACACAAAATAAAAAGAATAACATTTTTTTAAAAAATATAAAAACTATCTAAGCTGAGTTATACAGTCCCATGAAGAATTATTTCTTCTCTTGATCTTATCACTGCTTAGACATGTAGCTTGATGCCATTTTCCAACATCTAGAGAGTATTATATTGGACATTGACAGGCTAAGAAATGATTAACATCCCAGCCCAGGCAGTGGTGGTGCACACCCTTAATCCCAGCACTGGGAGGATCCCTGTGAGTTCAAGGCCAGCTTGGTCTACAAGAACTAGTTCCAGGACAGGCTCCAAAACTATAGAGAAACTCTGTCTCAAAAAATCAGAAAGAAAAAGGAAAGAAGGAAGGAAGGAAAAGATTGAAATCCCAAAGGTGATTCCACATCATATCCTCATCATTGGTAACTATATGTAGTGACACAGACTACAACATATATGTAAGGGCTAGACAAAGCTGATAGAGGGAAAATCAGGTCTCTGATTTCCTGCTCTCAGCAGCCCCTGCTTGAAGCCTTTATGTGTGTTCTAATACTTTGCTCAGAGAGTCTTTTCAAGTGTTATGGGTTAATGGGCTTCTGATTCTGTGTTTGTGTGTGGGTGTGTGTTTGTGACAGGGTTTCTCTGTGTAACAGCTCTGGCTGTCCTAGAACTTGCTTGATAGACCAGGCTGTCCTCAAACTCACAGAGATCCACCTACCTCTGCCTCCCAAGTGCTGGTATTAAAAGCATGCTCCACTGCCTGGCTAGACTTCTCATTTTTAATTTTTTTCATCTTTCACACTCTTCTATGAAGCTATTTCATTTACTCCCTAGTAAACAGAAATTCTAGGGGTGAGTAGCCCTGAAGCTCTCCAGGAGGAGCCTCACCAGGATGACTAGAATTTTCTGATCCAGATACGCTACAAAGGCCTATAAACCTAGTACTTGGGAGACTGAAACAAGAAGGTTTCCATTCATTCAAGGCAAGCCTGGGCTACTGAGTGAGACTGACAAAACTGGCATTTGCTTTTTAAAGGATTTTTTTCTTCTGTGGTCTTACTTTTTCGTAAGATTGTTTCAAGATTGGAAAGTATCTTGGCATTCTGTGGTCCTGCAATTTTATCAAAGGAGAGTGCTATTTAAAATGAGGTGCTGTGATATCCTGTTTCCTACAATAAGAAACATCTCAGCAGACTGAGCACTAGGCTAGGGCATAAATCCTTCATCTGTGACCTCGTTTTTCTCTTCAGGACCCCTTACATTTTATTGCTCTACCTTGTTGGCAAAGTATTTGAAAAGATTTTGCTAAAAGTCAGGGACTGATGCTTCAGGAGAACTTTTCTAAGCGTGGCGGTACTTTAGGACCCCAGAGATAATGCTGAGGCAGAGGAAAAGATAAGGGAAGGGGTCTTAGTATGGAGATGATAAGCTCAGTGGTAGGGTGTTTGCCTAGCATGTGCAAAGGCCTTGGCTTCAAATTTTTATTACTGGAGAGGAATAAAAAGTGACCGGGGTCTTCACACTATAAACTTGAAGCCTTAAGTGGTCTGTATTCAAAAATGCCAATCTTACTTATGTAGACAGTCTTTTACACATAAAATGCCTTCTGTTACTTAAAAGTTCAGTTTGTCTATTCAGAAATATGATAAGGGACTAGAGAGATGACACAGTGATTAAGAGCACTGGCTGCTCTTTTAGAGGACCACATGGCAGCTCACAACTGTCTGTAACTCCAGTTCCAGGGGATCTGACACTTTTACACCAATGCACATAAAGTTAAAGAAATTATTTTTTTTTAAATTTTTTTAAAAGACTCTGGTTAAGAGTATTTCAAATTAAAAAAAACACATTTGAACAAGAATCAGGATGAAATGTCATTCTTGGATTTGCTACAAGGACAAGGATTATACCCTTGAGTATGGACAGAATGTCAAATTCATTGTATTGTTAAAACAGTCCACACAGTTTCTCTCCTTTCAGTGTAAACATTTTAAGATTCATTCATCTTGTCAACTCTGGCTTCTGTTCAGCTCTCAGTAGCTTTTGGGTGCTCTTTTGCTGGCAACTCCTGTTGAAGAGTTAGAGTTGGGTTGGGCAGTGGCCCTGTCCTTGGTGCCCCTCTGTCCTCCCTGCTACTGTTCCTCAGCTTTCTGGAATAGGTTACTGTATAATCCTTTCTCTCCAAGGAGGTGACGGTGGCGCATCATCTTCTGGAAACATATCTGTGGTTGCTCCTGCCACCCCTGCAGGAGGTTCGCGCTCCTCTTCCCGGAACTTAGGCTCTTCAGGGCCTGAGAAGGAAGAAGGAAAGAAGGTCCGGAGGCAGTGGGAGTCGTGGAGCACAGAGGACAAGAATACCTTCTTTGAAGGCCTCTATGAGGTGAGTCATAGATGTGAGACAAAAACCCACAAGCAGTCATCCTCCTGCGTTCTCCCTGTTTACCTCATGTTTCTTCCCTTTGCTGCATGGCTGTTAAGTGGGCAGGTTCTATCAAGGAGCCCCAGAAGTGGTCAGGGCAGTTGTCATCTCCTTTCTGGGGCTATTAGGATGAATCTTCTTTCTCAAGACTCAATTATGTTTCGTGCACACTTCTTGCCTGGAGTATGACCTGCCTCAGGGCCTTTGCTTCCTTGGCTGTGCAGTGACTGATATAGTGGGTGTGCCGAAGTACAAAAGGACAAACAGATACCCGTCTCTGTCATCCAGAAGATATTCCAGCTAACTTAGAGCCAAATTTCCAGACTCACCGTCTACTGATGTGGCTGTGCCCTGCCAGCTGTCTTCACTTGGAAGTTTGCTTCTCACAGCCTTGTAGGTATTTGTGAACACATTTGCATTAACATCAAATGTACTTTTCACTGTGATCATTTTTAAGGATTTATTTGTTTTAATTTTATATGTATGTGTATTCACACAAAATGCATGCAGTACCCCTCAGAGGACAGAAGATGCCAGATACCACTAGAACTGCAAGTACAGATGATGGTGAGCTGTCATGTGGGTGCTGGGAGTTGAACCTGAACCCTCTGGAGTAACAGCCTATGCTCTTAACCACTGAGCTCTTTAGTTCATTAAAACAAGAACAAATGCCTACAAATGTGCTGCAGCCATGGTCATTTCTTTATGTGCTATTTGGGCTCATTTTTGGTCCAGTAATAGTTGAGTAGGTTGTAGTAGATGTGTCCCTTGGGCATGTGCCTGTATGTCTGTGTCTCTACCATCTCCAGGGTCTTGTGCATGCTAAAAAGGAATTTACTACCAGGATGATTCCCCAGCCTATTTATCCATTTTTATGAATTTTTTTCTATTCCTTGCAGATTCTCTCATTGTAAATAATACTATAGTGAACATCTTTGTTTTCATTCCTTGTTTTCTATAACTTCTTTGGCATGTTGTCTTAATCAGTGAGCCTTGTTCTCTTAATAGTTAATTCACTAGAGATAGGGTACACCTTGCCAAGTGTAGGAAGGACAAGCTTAACACACGAATGAGGCCTAGGAATTTAAATCATGAAGTGTTTATAGAAGATTAGAAAAGGACACATTTCTAATGGGCTATAGACTTGGTTTCATAATATTCCTGTGGCTGGTATTGCTCCTTCCTGTGGCTAATAGGCTAAGTTCTGCCCCATTTCAGGTGGATGTGATTGATATGTTCATGTGATTAGACCCTTGTTATCTATAGAGAGAATGAAATAGGTACATACAAGACTTGTTGGGGTAGTTGCAAAATCATTCAAACAGATGTGAAAGGGCTCTTTTTTTCTTTTCAGAATTATAATAAAGCACATCTGTATAGATTATATCTTGCTGTCAGACTTAGAAGACTTGTGATTCCTGATGGGTTGTAAGAGTGTGCAACTGTTAGTGAGTCTTTTCCTAAACTGTAACTACTATGGTGTTCTCCTTCCTTCCTGGAAGACTGAGCTCTGCAACGTGGTCTGATCATCCAGCTGCAGAAAGTGAAGTGTGACACCTCTGCCATTCTTCAGGTGCATAGAGCATCGCCTTCAGTTGCCCTAGCCTTGTTTCCTTTTCTACTAGTCAGGCATGTATTTTTAGGTCTCCTGAAATCCTCGATTAGAAATAATGCTATTAATGTTTTCTGTGACTGATACAGGGAGATGGAGAGAGGGGAAGAGAGTTATTCTAGTTTGGTTGCTGTTGCTCTAATAAACACCATGACCAAAAACAACTTGAGGAGGAAAGGGTTTCCAACTGCCAGGTCATAAACTATCACTAAGGTTTTGATGTCAGGATGGAAACTCAGATGTTGTGGGAATGATATTGGGTGACTTAGCCCTATGGGCACGGTCTTCTTTGGGTACATGACCAGATAAGAACTGAGGACGAAGGTCTTGCTCACGCTCTCTGGGACAGTGAGGAAACTGGCAGAGCTGTAGCTTAGCGGTCCCCTTGCCCTTGAGGAACGAGGTTCTCCAGCAGAATCTGTGGAACAGGTGGTAACTTGACCAAGACTCCTCCTTCTCTCTTGTAGTCATTGCACACGGATTTGACTTACTAAAAGGTAAAACAGTCTTCAGGATTCCCGCTGTACCTGTCTTCCAGTGTGACCTGACCCAAAAAGGCCCTGCTACTAGTCTACATGGCCATCCAGAGTAAACCTGGAAGCAGAAACCATGGGAGAACACTCCTTACTGGCTTTCTTCCCATGGCTTGCTTAGGTAGCTTTCTTTTTATACAATCCAGGATTGTATGCCCAGGGTCAGCACTGCCCATCCTAGACTGGGTTCTTCCACATGAATCATTTATCAAGAAAACGCCCCACAGTTTAAGACAATGGAGACAGTTTGAAGGTGCCTCTTCCTAGGTGACTTTAATTGGTATCAAGTTTACAAAAAATAGCAAGTGCAAGAGTGTGTATGTCTGCCTTATGTCTCATTTGGGGTCTGACTAAAAGACCCTGGTGTCTGTTTGGCCAGTGTAGGGCAAGTGTGGGCAACTAAAATCTCTAGCAGTGGGATTAATGGTAGCTGAGCATAGACATCTGTTCTGAGAATTATTTCTGTAATTGTCACATGTACACACACATGAGAGTATGCATAAAAATACTGGGAATGAAACCTTTGTTCATGCTAGACATGGTATTCCCCCACTGAGTAGATTTGCACACTCACTACCTTTTTGAGGAACCTAGTCTGACTTATTTACCACCAGTGAAGACCTAGTTCACAGCAACACTCCTAACAGATGAAACTTCGTGTCCAGACCCTGAGGGTGCTGGTGACTGACCAGATGCAGGGAGTCTGCTGCTGTCTTTTCCTATTTCTTCTCTCTTGCTTAAGATACCCACATCTGTAGCTCGAATGAGAACATTTTGAGTGTGAACTCATATTGTTTTTTTCAAGTGATGGCCCATCTATACTCTCCCCTGTGACTAGCAAGGTGGAGAGTTGGGTGTGTCTGAGTGGAAGGCACCTTGGACCTTAGCTAAGTCCTTTTGATTTCAGTGCTGTTTTGGTATGAAGCCTACAACTGTGCTTTCATTTTATTTTATTTTAAATCATTAATCTTTTTTTTTTCTTTTTTGGTTTTTGGTTTGGGTTTTCTGTTTTGTTTTTTCAAGACAGGGTTTCTTTGAAGATCCACCTGGCTCTGTCTTCTACATGCTGGAATTAAAGGCACATGCCACTACCACCCTCCCAGCTCATTAATCTTTTTAACCATACTATACTTAATTTACTGCATTGGGAACTGTGGAGGCTTTGTCTCTGATGTGCATCTCAAAGTACCCTACCCTCCAGTGACTTACCATCATATCAGAGACATACATAGACACATGCAGGGGGATTGCAGGGCACATACTCAAGTCTCACAGACAGTGTAGTGTGAGAATACAGGTTCATAAGTCATAAATAAGACAGTCAGGCCTCAGGGCAGTGAGGTTGTCTGTGTCTGTTTCCTGTTCAAGTTAACAGTTGCTGAGGAATTGACTTAGCCTTTCAACTGACACAGGAAGGTATTTTACACCCAGCTTTACCTTTGTATGATTAGATGCCTGTGTTACCTCCTTTGTATGAGATTGGGTATCAGTCTGTTGCCATGGATTACCTCCCATTCCCCATCCTCCTAGCTTAGGCTTGAATATGCTTCCAGTTTAGTTTTTTTTTTAAGGAATGAGTAAGCTTTAATTTAAATTAATTTATCTTTTCATTTTAAAACTATTTCAGACTTTAAAAATGTTATAAACGACCAGTGAGGTGGCTCAACAGGTTAAGCAGCTGTCGTTATGCCTGATACCTGTCTTGATCCCTAGGACCCACATAGTAAAAGGAGTAGACTTGACTCCCATAAGTCCCCTAACTTCCACATTTGTACTGTGATGCATGCACTCTTATGCACATGCATACACACTCCAAAAAAACAAAAACAAAATAAAATAATAAGAAACAAAATTTCCTAGCAGCAGTGGGTCCTTCATTTATCTTGCCCAGTTTTACATGAGAGCTGCCGCAGTTGTGATGCCAGCCCAGGCCACTGTTTTCAGGTGGGACCTTCTAGACCATTCTGGGTATCAAGACACAAATGCCACATTTTCCATCAGTTTGTTTGTTTGTTTTCCAGGACGGTTTCTCTGTAGCTTTGGAACCTGTCCTGTAACTTTCTCTGTAGATCAGGCTGGCCTCGAACTAACAAAGATCTACCTGCCTCTCTCTCCTGAGTGCTGGGATTAAAGGCCTACACCTCCTTTGCCTGGCTCCAATAATTTTTTTTACATTAGTTTAAACAACCTGACTGCTTTTACCTGGCACAGCAGTCGCTGTGAAATCTGTTCAGTGACAATCTTGCTTCCATTGCTTTATGTCAGAGGGTTACAGAGCTCTTTTTTGTGGGGGGGGGGGGGTTTGAGACAGAGTTTCTATGTATAGCTTTGGAGACTTTTCTGGAACTTGTTCTGTAGACCAGACTGGTCTCAAACTCACAGAGATCCCCTTGTCTCTGCCTCCAAAGTGCTGGGGCTAAAGACATATGTCACCACTGCCCTGCTGTGCTACCAAGCTCGGCCACATCTCATTTGAAGAAGGGCCTTTCTTTCTTCCCCTTGGTGTTTTACACACTTGTGTATGTATATGTGGCTACATGGAGCCTGCTTTATTATGTGGATTATAATCCATTCACCACTGATTTGTGCCCATATGGTTTTGGTACAAATTGAAACCTGTCTTTTCTTGGTTGAGGTCTCACTCTCTGGGCACCTCCAAGTGTTCCACACTCATCTGGCACACACCCTGCACAGCCCTGGAATTAGTTATTTTGCAGAACGTCTGTATTCTCCATGAAGAAAGAAAGAAAGAAAGAAAGAAAGAAAGAAAGAAAGAAAGAAAGAAGATAGATAGATAGATAGATAGATAGATAGATAGATAGATAGATAGATAGATAAGAAATTCATATCTGGGCTCAGGGGCGCTATTGCCATAGTGTCCTCTCAGTACTTCTTACTATATCATTTTCTGATATCACCAAATAGCTGCTTCTCTATATCATATAAAGAAACAAGCCTGTCCCTTTCTGATTGGAGATGGAGGAAGAGTGGATTGGGGGGGTATATGGGAAAAAAGACAGAATGGGAGGGGAAGAAGGAGAGGAAACTGGTTGGTATGTAAAATAAATAAAATAAGAATTTTATTTAAATTTTAAAAAAAGAAACAACACAGGAACACAAGTTACAGTCTCAAATTTCAACCACACCCTGATTTTGAAGGAGACCTTCTAGAAGGGGTTGACCCTGAGGTATGGTCAGAATGTCTTCTGTTTGGATCTATTCCCAGGGTTTGTATTTGCCAATTCTGTTTGATGACACTTTCTGTAGCCTGTTCTTTTATTCTAAGATGCTCTGTGGTGGCAGCCTGACCTCTTTCCCATGGTATCCTACTGTCTGCATGTTTCCCTCATGGTCCCTTAAAGGGTTACCCAAGATCAAGCTCTTTGTCCCAATGATAGTTTTTTGCCTTTTAGGCTATTTTAGTTTGTTTTATGCTGTCACAACATGCACAAAACTGAAATCTCTCTTCTCTCTCCACTAGAGATTGAACCTAGGGCTATATGTGTTTTATGATTGAACTATATCCCTAGCCCATAGTGATACCTTATTTTTATATCTTAGCAAGAAGAAATGCTGTGTCCTCTCATGGCAGAATGCAAGCTAGCAGAATGCTTCCTAAAGCTCCTTTTATAAGGGCCTTATTGTCACCAGAAGGAAGAATCTTCCGTAGCTTAATTACCTCTTGCAAACCTGTCTTTTAATGCCATCACATCTACAATATGAACTTAGAGAACTCTAAAAATGGCAAAGCTCTTGCCTCTGGTGTTGTCTATGGACTGGGATAGTTCTGTCCCTGAATTCTATTGCTGCTTTGTTCTAATTAAAACTTGAGATTCTAAGGAAGTAAAGTTGAAGTTTATATGTACAGAAGTACCTTGAAGGACAACCATCTTGTACATAGCTGGTCACTCTTTGATTCTTGATGACGCCTATATCATTAAAAAAATATTGTCTTATTTTTAACTGCTGTGCTTTTATTGTGGAATTTTTGTTTTCTAGCATGGAAAAGACTTTGAAGCCATTCAGAACAATATTGCTCTAAAATACAAGAAAAAGGGCAAACCTGCAAGCATGGTGAAGAACAAAGAGCAGGTCCGGCATTTCTACTACCGCACCTGGCACAAGATTACCAAGTACATTGACTTTGACAATGGTGAGTGTTTTACAGACTTAGTCTCTGGGAGACCAGTAGGCAGAGTTGATTCTTTTCAGGCAAACACCCAATGTCCTCTCTTTGTGATACCATCCTCACTTAGCTGCTCACTATAGGACTTGCCTCCTAATGCTTTGGTTGGTGGCATACCCAGAGCCTGTTGGTCAAACTTAACTGAGGAAACTGCCCGCACCTATGTTTCAGGGGCTTTACTGCTGTTTGAGTTGTTTTTGTGTGTATGTGTGTGTTTCAACATCTGTGTGTTTGTGTGTGTGCATGTGTGCCTGCACACCCTGCAGTCACCTCAACAGGTTGGAAAAGTGTTCTTCCAAGGTGCTCAGTTGGCCTGAGCCTTTTTGAGGCAGCTTTGCTGGTCTCTACTTCTTCAAGGCAACTGGGCTTTGCTGAGATTTCTTTGCAGCTTGATTAGTCTGAGAGCAATTCTTAGTAGTCTTTACTGCTTATATACTCTTGCATCTGGTCAATTTCAGGTACTTGCTAGAAATATTTTGAGTTGTTTACTTCCTGTCTTAATGGAGCTTCCCGGCAGGAAGTATTTAACCTTTCCCCTAGGACACCCTGTTGTAAACACGTTGTGCTAGACTCTCTGGTTGTTTACTTTTCTTTACATCTTATGTGTCAAGAAGTTTCCCTTCAAGGTGGAGGAAGATTTTCACCTAGAAGGAAACTGCCTCACAGCAAAGGTTCTGGGTCACCTATAAGTTTGGGTATTGAGATAAGTTGAGCTGTGGATACACAAGAAAGCCTGAATTGTGCTGGTCTGCTGGGATGGATGCTGGCTTTGCCAGTGCTCTGATCATCTGTGTTACAGTCAAGATTTGCACAGTTCGGTTCATCTTCGGGAACATGATTAGATCTCCTTAGCTGTTGGTCTCATTTCTGGCTAAAAGTGCCTTTGGTTGACTACCTCTTTAGCTGATAGTCAACTGTCTCTCCCTGTAAAAGTTAGCCACCTCCTTCCTCCATGTTTCTGGAGTCTCCTCTGGCACTCATTTGGTTCCAGCCTGCTCTATTCTGCCTTTCATTTCTGCACTTTCTATAGTGGACTTATTCTAGAGATCCTTCCTTCTAGTACTCACTTTTAATTTTCCAGATAGTAAAGTTTTTGACCTAGAAATCACTAATGTATAGTTGTGGACACATTGCTCCTACCTCTGATCCCTGCCTATGCCTTCATATTGGCCTTTGACACCCCTGATCTTTACCATTTTTGTGGTGTGCTCTTTACCAGGTCATGATATTTTGGCTACTGTATGCATCATGTTACTATAGCTTTAAAAGACGCTGACTGCCTGATTCCCCATCTGACTTAGGAGCAGAGCTCTGAGTGTCACACACCCTTTCCCCTCTGGTCTGTTCATCTCTAGAGACCCCCGCGACTAAATTGTCAGTCTCCACACCTGGGAGCATCTCCCAGTTAATCTCAGGATATTGTTGATACCTGTTTGTCAGCTTCCATAATTCATATAACCATCAACGTAAGATTTTTCCACAGACTTCAAGTCAACCCCATTTTGTCCTTCAGTTACCAACGCTGCTGCGTGTTTCATAGCTGGTTTGTCTGTTTATCTGTAGCACAAATAATAAAAAGATAATTGGAGTTCAGTCTGAATATCAGAAAAGCAAAGCAGCCAGCCTCTGACTCTTACCTCTACCTCAGACTAAAAATGGTCAATCCTGTCTCCATGAATACTGAGGACTTCACACCCCACACTCCACGTTCCACTTAGCTCCTGTCTCTTACCCCTTTATTCTTCTCTGCACCCAGCCAGATCGCTCCGTCTCACCTCCCTAGTGCTGAAATTAAAGGCATATAATCACAAGTGCTGAGATCACCTTTATGTGAGCTTTGTTTCTCTTTAAACAGATTCAATCTTGTGTAACCAAGGGTGGCCTTGAACTAACAGAGATTTGTCTGCCTCTGTCTCCTGAGTCCTAGGATTAAAGGTGTGTGCCACCACTCTCTGACCTGTATGGCTGACTAGTATGGCTGCTTTGTGTTTGCCCGCTGAACTTCAGGCCAGCTTTATTTATTAAAACACAAGTAATATATCACCATACATATTTCATCACTAGTCCAGTCCCCTGAGCTCCAAGGCTGTCTTCATTCATGTGAAACATCTGTACCTTCCAGATATATTGTTTATGTACTTTTTCTTTTCTTGTTAGAGCTCATTGTAAATTCTGAAAGGTATTCCAAGACAAAGGGTTCACTCCAGCTGCTCTTGAAAAGTCTCCCCAGTGAGATGACTAATAAGTTATGCTTGAAAGATTGTTGTGGTTCAAGTTGTACCTTGTGTGATGATAGAGTGTGTCTGGTTTGTTCACCAAGCTCTACTTTCAGGCATTGTGGATGGTACAAACTCGGATGCTGTCCATGGCCCTAAAACATAGATGTTCCTCCCCCAGGTCTACTAAGTCTAAGAATTTTTTTTCGTGGGTTAGTATTGCAAAGTATATAAAGCTGATGTTTCTTTTCTGTTACCCTCCTCTACAGAACCACCTCCTGACCCCAAGTACCTCAGGCTCCTGGCAGCATCATTTTAGCTCTCTTTCCCATCAGGGATGAGGGATAGAGGTTTCAGCACATTGTAGGATCATAGCAGACTGTTTCTTTCACTTCCCTGTGTGGTGACCCAGTTTCTCTCCTGCCTTCCTTCCTCTGTCCTTTTGATTGCACAGTCATCACACATGAAGGGTCTTTTCTTTTTAAGATTTATTTATTTATTCAGTATACAATGTTCTGCCTGTATATATATGTGTGTGTGTGTGTGTGTGTGTGTGTGTGTGTGTGTGTGTATGTATGTGTGTATGTAACCCAGAAGAGGGCACCAGATCTCATTATAGATGATTGTGAGCCACCATGTGGTTGCTGGGAATTGACCTCAGGACCTCTGGAAGAGCAGCCAGTGCTCTTAACATCTGAGCCATCTTTCTAGCCCTCCCCATCTTTGCTTTGTTTTTGTTTTATCTTTTTGAGACAGGATTTCTCTGTAGCTCTGGCTTTCCTGGAGTTCACTGTGTAGGCCAAGCTGGTCTCAAACTCAGAGATCCACCTGCCTCTGCCTCCCAAGTGCTGGGTTTAAAGGTGTGTGCCACTGCCGCCCAGCTCTATAGGTCATACTTTTGTTATCTGTCAAGATCTTAGATTCCTTTTGAGAGTCTGACATGGTCTTGGGTTTTTTCCCTCAGGAAAACCTTCAGGATTGGTCAACCTTAGTATTTTAGGTAAGGCAGAGTTTTGAGCTAGTCCATGTTCCAGAATTGTACTAGTATATTCATTTCCTGTTGTACACAGCTGAATGTTAATGCCTAGAAGTTGTCTCTGAGAAGAGAACTAGAGAAAACAGTTGAGAGATTTTGCAGAGGACATTTGTCTCTGCTCTGAGATGACCTGACAGTGCCTAGACTGTTGTTGGTTGCCTCCAGTGTCCTGTAATGTAAAGTATCTTTAGAAAACAGTGGCTAGCACAGAAGGGTCATTCTCCTTTTGCCAGGTTCAAGAGCCCTGAGCTCCCCAGGTATGCTCTGCTGTCCTCTGTGTACTGGGGTTGTACAGGGTGGCTCTAGGCTAAAGCACCAGAGGAACAAGGTGCGGGAGGGGACAGGCAAAAATATAGCTTTTGTCCATTTCATCTTCTCAAAAATATAGCTTTTGTCCATTTCATCTTCTCAAAGCAGCCTGTGAAGTCTTACACAACAGTCCTGTGGTTCCATATTGAGCGATTGTTTTCTTCCTAAATAAAGGGGACACTTATTGGTGACGTTAGAAGGATGGATGTTAGCAGTGACTTGTTGGATATATATCCGTTGTCACCTGGGGAGGGCATAGGGGAGTTCTCGGGGATCAGGGTATGGCTCACCTGTACTTGGGGAACTGTGTGCCATAAGGCATGATTGTGTTGGTCATTCAGTTCTTTCTTTTCTCTGAGAATACTCCTTGTCAATCAAGCAATTTTCTTCTCCAGGAAACATTTGCTCTGCCTGTCAGGACTAATGTTTGACCTCACCCCTTATTTTTTAGATTTTTACCTGGAGTAAAACAACATTGCTCCTACTGTTTGTTGTTTGCCAGTTTCTTCAGAGATCAGCAACTACATGGCCAAGGTGCCTTGATCCACATGTGATCAGCCTCAGACTCTGGAGAGTGTGCTTCTAGTGTTCTTGTACAAACAGGCTGTGCCCTATGATGTCTCTGTCCCTCCTGCCTAACATCTGTCCTTTTGTCTTTCAGTGTTCTCTCGAGGGCTAAAGAAATCATCCCAGGAACTCTATGGTCTTATCTGCTACGGAGAGCTACGAAAGAAGATCGGGGGTTGTGAGTACTGCTGCTGTTTGCGTCATTCTAGTCCTTGTCACCACTGACCTTTAGTGCACAGAAATGCCTGTTTTCTCTCCAACTTTTATGTTGAAATTTTTTTCACAACAGAAAAGTTGAAGAAAGATAGAGTGACCATTCCCTTGCCTCCTCTACCGTTTATTAATGTTTGCTTATGCTCTTCACATAGGCTTACACACACAGGTACATTTTTCCTCATTGCCATTTAACTGTACACCCTTATACCACACTCTGAAGACCAGCACTGTGACCTGGATGAGACACTTCTGTGCACCACTTGTCATGATTGTTCTGAGTCATTTCAACCCTATCAAAGTGTACAGTATCCTGCTAACTTCCTGCCTATATTCAGAGTCTTTAGAACATTTCCAAGTGATGGTCAAGTTTTGTCCAGGACTACTTCCCTGTATGCAAAGCCACCTGCATGTATATGGTGGTTGCATTGCTTTTTTTCTGCCATGATTGCCTAGCTGAGCCAGTATTTGACAGGAGCCTAAGTTCTGGCTGGATCTCCAAAGGTCCTAGCCTGACTACAGCTCAAGACTGTCTGTCCTCACCTCACAGCTCAGGCATCTGCTAGATGTAAAGTACAAGACTTCTCACTTCCCCCCTTCCTCTCCCCTCTTCCTGTTTCTTCCAGGATATGTCTCATAGGTCCTGTCTAGTTTGTTTGGCCTCCTCACCCCTAAGCATCTCATGTAGAACCTGCTAGACACAGTGCTGCAGAGCTTTGTTCTTGCCCTGGCTTTCCTCTTCATTAACCCCTCTCCTGCATATCTGAGCTCCAGTGTCCCTGTTCAGACAAGACTGGGTTTCCTTGACTTAAGTCATTAGTACTCCATTTTCTCATGCATTTGTGGTGGTACTGGAGTGGTTGGTTAGTGTCCATCTAAGGGCCATGGTGTGCCTGGCTCTTGCAAGAACATGCCTGCCTTTACTTTTTCCAGTGATCTTCCTCCTTACTGAAGACCCGTCTACACCTGGGCTCTTCTCTTCAGAGTGAGAGCTTTCTTTACTTTCTGTGGTGCAGTTGTCCAGCTTTGAATCCTTTCACTCACTGTTCACTGAATAGCCTTCATTTTGTTTTCATTCTTCTATGGTTTTTCGACATGGGTCTTTTCTGTGTAGCCCTGATTATGTCCTGGAATTTACTTTATAGACCAGGTTGGCTTCGTATTCACAGAGATCCATATGCTTCTGCCTCTTGAGTGCTGAAATTAAAGACTTGTGCCATCAAACCCAGCTCTGTTTTCATTCTTAAAAGTTTATCAGAGTAGAATTCTGATTTGACTGCTTTTGTTTTTATTTGTTTTTTTTTTCTTTTTCTTCTTTGATCATGTTTATGACTGGTATAGTGTCTGTCCTACACTATCTATGATAAAAAGTCCTTTAATTCCTTAAAGGTACAGTACATTTCTGCCTGTTTTTACAGTTGCATTCTTGTCTTTGGTTCTCTGCCTGGGTAAGTGAGTGTGGTCCCACTGTTACTCAGTCAGTCAGTACTGTTGAGGATTTTACAGTGCATACCCAGGGCCAAGGCTCCTGTGTTACCTTTTTAATTCTTGCTTTCCCATGAAGACATCTTTAGGACAGTGATGTGGACAGAAACTAGGGCATTAGAATTATCATTTAGTTGGCCTTGCCATTCAAATTATATTCCTGAGAGTCCACATAAAACCAGCAGAGAAAGAAGGCCCAGGACCCAGTGAGATGCCTGCAGGATGCAGTTTTCAGGCAGTATTGGGAGCTGTGGTTCAACAGTACCAAACTATCATGGATGACTCCTAGAAGATGTTAGCTGTACAGGAAGCACATTAGAGCTTTGAGACAATGGTTAGGAAGAAGCTGTCTGTGACAGACAAGGTACTGGCCAACATTACTGCGGGTGCAGATTCTGTTTGATGAAGAACATTCATTACCAAGATCTGGAGTCTGTGTGGAAGGCAATAATATGGGAATTTGTTATTGTTTATGTCTAACCACCCCATGGCCTCATTTGTTTTTTTTTTCTACATTTAAAGGCATGGATGACAAGAATGCAACCAAGTTGAATGAACTCATTCAGGTTGGGTAAGTGCAAGTGTATGCTGTTCATTCATTGAACTACAGAGGTTGAAAAAGATGCTGGTTTGTTTTTTGGTTTTTTGGTGTTTTTTTTTTTTTGTAATTTTATTCGTGTGCTTATTGTATGTGAGTGTTGACATGTGTTACAGTGCTTGTGTGGAGAGCAGAAGACCGCTTTCAGCAGTCAATTCTACTGTGGTGTCCACATTGAACTCAGGTCATCAGATTGTGCAGGGCTAAAATTTGCTTTCTGTTGCTCTAATAGACACCATGACCAAAAACCATTTAGGGAAGGAAAAGGTTGATTTGGCTTACACTTTAAGGTCACAGTTCATCACTGATGGGAGTCGGGGCTGAAACTGAAGCAGAAACCATGGAGGAATGGTGCTTGCTGGCTTGCTCCCTAGTCTGTGTTCAGCTACCCCTCTTATACAGCCCAGGCCCACCTGCTGAGGAACGATTCTGCCCACAGTTGGCTGGGCCCTCACATTTCCATCATTGGTGAAGACAATTACTCACAGATAAAACTACCAGCCATTCTGATGCGGGCCGTTCTTTAGATCACGTTTCCTCTTGACCCTTGGTTGTGTCGAGTTGTTAATAAAAACATTAATTAGGACACAGGGCAGGTGTTTTAATCTGCTCAGCCTTCTAGCAAGCCCTCCAATTTCTTGGTCAGGACCCACAGAATTAAAACTTCTTCCTGTCCTTAGGCATGTGTTTTGTTCCCACAAATGATCCTTGTGCCAGCCCTTGCCTGTGACTGTATGTACAGATGGCCTGGCCTTGATTTCTCTTTCCTTAGGACTTGGATGTGTTGGCTCCTGGGCTGCTTCAGATAGACTGTCTTGGCTTTCAACATTTAATCTGACTCCTCTGATTTCCAGAGCTTATATGTTATCACAGTGTCACAAGCCACCAAAGTCTTTTCAGCCCAATGTTTTTGACCTTTTATTTTCCAAAGATGCCATCTGCATCAGGGTTGAGTATGGAGCTAGCAAGCATACTTACTGCCTTGTCTTCAGGTTTCCTCCGTGGACTGCACCAGCTGGCTTGAATGACAGAGTTAGCATTTTAATCCTCATGAGTCCTCTTGTGTTCTGCCTGTCTCTTGAGTTGGTATGTAGGTCAGTAAAATGTTGTTACCCCAAGCCCCTCTCCAGTTCCATACCCACTCTGTGTAGTCTCCTCTTGGCTGCTCCAGAACTCTGTTCTGGGGTGTCATGCTGCTGCTGATGCTCTGCTACACTATAAGATGCTTGTGAGGGCTTCTTATCTAGTTCAGGGCCCTTGTTGAAAGCCGTGTCCTCTGTCTATCTCTGTTCTCCCTCTCAGTCCCCAGCCCATTACCTGAACCTTAAACATTTGGTCTGCTTTGTCATTCATACTTTTCTAGCTACTGTGGACATAACAGTTTTTATATATCCTGAGGTATGACCTCCCCAAATCCCTACTACTTCTCTCGTGTCTCTCTCTCTCTCTTTCTCTCTCTCTCAGACCTGAACTTTGACTTTTAGACATTATAACATGTTGAAGTAAGCATCTAGGTTTTAGCTCTACATCCTTCCTGGGACTGGATTTGTAACCTTTTATATATATAATTTTTATTTATTCTATATACCAACCATAGTTTCCTTTCTCTCCTTTCTTCTCATTCCCTCCCCCTGCCTCCCATCTACCCCCTCCATTCACTCCTCCTTTCAGAAAGATAGGCCTCCTATGGGAGTCAAAAAAGCATAACACGTCAAGTTGAGGCAGGACCAAACTCTTCCCCTTGCATCAAGACTGGGCAAGGCATCCCAGCATGGGGAATAGGTTCCAAAAAACCAGTTCATATGTCCGGGACAGGTCCTGATCCCTCTGCTAGGGGCCCCACCAACAGACCAAGCCACACAACTGTCACCTACCTACATGTGAAGGGCCTACGTCGATCCCATGCAAGCTCTCCAGATGTCTGTCCAAAGTCCGTGAGCTCACATTAGCTCAGATTAGCTGTCTCTGGATTCCCCTGTCATAATCTTGACCCTCCTTGCTTCAGCTGGATTCAGGAAGCTCGGCCCAGTGCTTGGCTATGGATCTCTGCATCTGTAAGACTTAATTTTCTTTTTCTTTCTTTCTTTCTTTCTTCCTTCCTTCCTTCCTTCCTTCCTTCCTTCCTTCCTTCCTTCCTTTTCTTGGTTTGTTTGTTTGTTTGTTTTTTGGTTTTTCAAGATAGGATTTCTTTGTAGCTTTGGAGCCTGCCCTGGAATTAGCTCTTGTAGACCAAGCTGGGCTTGAACTCACAGAGATCTGGCTGCCCCTGCCTCCTGAGTACTGGGATTAAAGGTGTGCACCACCACCACCTGGCTTTTTTGCAAGACTGAGCAGTTGCTTGTTACAGTAGCTTTTTTTGGGAAGACTGAAGCTCACGGGCTGAGGTGATCATTGTTATGGTCTTATCAGTAGGTGAGAAATGTCCATTGAGGGGCCCAGTACACCTCTATGATTTGATCTGACAGGAGTGTGATTTGATCTTTCCTGGTTTTATTTCAAAATTCACTGAGTGAAACTATTTGTTTCAGGCGCTTTGCTTTGTTTCCTGAACAAAGCATGAGATAGGATATAGGGAAGGGCAGACTTAGTACTGGGGGTAGGCTCCTGCCACTCAGGATCGTGCTAAGACAGACAGCTGTGAAACCTCTGCTAATGCTTGCTCATTATTGTTTGTGGTTTATGTTATGTCAGACATGTTTAAGGTTGGACAGGTGTGCAGTGAAACACCTCCTTCCTACCATTATGATCTTATTTGGAGTACTTTCTCTCTCCTAAAAAAAAAAAAAGACATTATCTGCTGTCTGTTTATCTCTTCCTTCATCATCTGGTTGGAGTCAACCAGTACACAACCTATTTAGATTGGCATCCTCTATTCATGGCTCTGAGTTTAACAAGAACATCATGGCAGGGAATGTCTAGTCCATGTCTAACCCTACGCACGATAGTGCCACTCTCTATAATGCCTTCCTTTTCTGAGCATCTCTCTTTGAACAATGTGCAGAGGACACTGTCAGCCATTGTACAGAGCTCAAACAGCTCATTGCCTTTCCCTGCCCAGTGGAGTTAGTAACATGAATATACCTGTCTGTTGATCTGTTGGGTTTTTTTGTTGTTGTTGTTTTGTTTTATTTTTTCTTGTGGAGGAATACTAGGTAATAGGTTTTTTGTTTTTTTTTTTTTAATGTTTTTGAAGAATTGACTCTAAGGCTAAACCATGAGTCTGTTTTGTGAGCATGGGTTTTCATCTCACCTGGGCATCCCCTCAGAAGAGATGTGTTTTCCAAAGCCCATCCCAGGGGCTCCCAAGGACTTCAGAAAGTTCTGCTTGATATGAAATTGCCTTGAATTGTATTTTTTTTGATAATCAGTGACATTGAGCATGAGTTTTTGTTGCTGTTGTTGTTGCTTCTTTTGAACAGGTGTGTGTGTATGAATGTGTATGCCCATTTTGTTTTTAAAGCCCATTCCCCTGCAAGGCTCTTTGTTGGAGGAAGTTGTTGAAAACGTGACTCCTTCATGTTGTATTACTCTCTTCTGTGTCCCCACTCCAGCATCACTGTTACTGCTGTATCACTTTTCATCAGTGTGCTTCATCTGGTGTAAGGTAGTTCAATAATTTTGAGTTACTTGAATGTGTGGTTGCTTAGAGACTTATTCTCTGTGAATTATCCCTCCAAATAGAAAGTGGGTAAGGGGGCAGCCTTTTTCTTAGACTCTTCTTGTCCCTTTAGTCAGACTTACTTATTCTTAGCTCTGCATTTTGGTGTCTAACATACAGAGGTAGTTTGGTCCTTGAGTGGATAGGTGCATATGGGGTGCATATGACAGCTGAGGTGATAGGTAGAGGGTTAGTTAGAACTGATGAGAAGACTTTTAAGAGGACAGTTGAGCAAATGAATGAGTGGATAGAAGAATGGCTGGTGGACAGACAGATAAATGTTTACACAGATGAATGAATGAATGAATGAATGGGCAGATATATGGGTAGATGGATGAATGTGCCAATAGGGGGTAGACAGATGGAAGAATGAATGTATATGTATGGCTAGATTAATAGATGGAATACAGATGTAAGAGAAAGCGTGGGCAGAGGAGTCGATTGGTACATTTATGAGTGGGTAGCATGGATTAGTGCATGGGTGGGTGGGTAAGTAGATGCTTGGATAAGTAAAGAGATGTGCATTTGGAAGGATGAATGGATAATATTGTAGCTGCCATATCATGAGGAGTTACTTAGTTTTCTGTGTTGAATGATTGTGCCCACCTCCCATATGAGAGAGACCTCACTGTTTGAATCGTTTTATGAGTATTTGCTGAAAGCCTTACTGTGTTTGGAGCCAACGTGAAACCACTATGCAGGGTTCTGAGACTTCATAATGCTAAAACGTGAGCCATTTTCCTTTTCAGGACACACTTTGTTCTTATGAGGTATGTGGTACAGCACTTTCCCCCTGACTTTAGCCCTAGTTGTCTCCTGCTTTACATGTATATATCTGAGTTGCCCTTTTTAAAAAAAAATATTTATTTATTTGTTTGTTTGTTTGTTTGTTTATTGTGCACTGGTCTTTTACCTGTATATACTCTGTGTGAGGGTGTCGGATCCCCAAGAACTAGAGTTACAGTTCTTGTTGTGAGCTCCCATGTGGGTGCTAGGAATTGAACCCAGGTCCTCTGGAAGAGCAGCCAGTGCTCTTAATTGCTGAGCCATCTCTGGCCCCCTTGAGTTGCTCTTTTAATCAAGTATTGTATCAACAGAACCTTTCCTGTGCTTGTTCTGCTTAACATTATAGTTTTGATTCTTATCTCCAGATTTAAGCAGCATTATTTTAGAACAACATTTTTTAAATTATACAAATATAGTATGAGTACATTCTGAATGAATACATTTTTGTTTGTTTTTCGAGACAAGATTTCTTTGTGTAACAGTTCTGGCTGTCCTGGAATTCACTTTGAAGACCAGGCTGGCCTTGAACTCACAGATTCACCTGCCTCTGCCTCCTGAGTGCTGGCATTAAAAGCGTGTGCCACCACTGCCCAGCTAGAATACATCTTTTTAAGATAGTATGAACATGTAAAATCAGCCAGGCAATGGTGGCACACACCTTTAATCACAGCACTTGGGAGGCAGAGGCAGGTGAATCTCTGTCAGTTTGAGGCCAGCCTGGTCTACCGAGTGAGTTCCAGAACAGCAAGGGCTACACAGAGAAACCCTGTCTAAATAAAATAAAATAAAATAAAATAAAATAAAATAAAATAAAAATCACCAGCTAGCCCATCTCCTTCCCCTCAATTAAAACTTTCCTTCGGAAATTTACATGAATAAACACTTAGATACAAATATGAATCTGTACTAGTATATCATCTCTTCCACATATTTAGAATCATCTCGTGTATATTACCCTGTCATTTTCCTACATACATCTTAGAAACTAAATGGTGAGAATTGAAGCTGCTCTCATAACTAACATGCTCATAGCTGAGAATAGGTCAGTAAAAAAAGTAGGGGGGGGGGTTCCTACACATGTATTTAATCCCAACAGGAAGCAGAGGCAAGCAGATCTCTTTGAGTTCAAGGACAGCCAGAGCTACACAGTGAGACCCTGTCTAACAACAACAAAAGTAGGTTAAAGCAAAAAGACATAAAATGATAGTTTGAACATGTTATAAAACCCAAACATGCACTCCTTTCTTTACCTTTAGGTGGTTGACCAGAGCCTTTTCTTCAACCTGGATCTGCTTTAATCTGGATCCAAAGTGCATCATTTGTTCTTTTTAAATTCAAAGCAGTGGAAACTCAGGAGCCAGACTGATCAGTCTTGGCCTTTGGTCATGTTCACACCTGTTCAATCCCTGTCTGAAAACCAGCTACCTATACTTAGTGCTTTGAACGCTTTCCACCTGTGGGCTTTGTTTGTTTTTCTCTTGTTTTGTTTTTTAAGGATCTTTCACCTTTGTATCAGTAGTGAAACAGTATTTCAATAATACATATAATTGCTAATCTACTGCAGCTCCAACAGACAGATCTTGGCTGGCCTAAGGACTTGAGTTTGGGGCTGTGACACTCTACTGTATGGATTACAGGGGAATGGGATTACACTGCTGTGGCAAAGTGGTCATGAGTAGTTCAGAAGAAGTCATGGAAAGGTGGGTGGGCAGGTCATGTGGAAGACATATAGAGGTGGCTCTAGAGTTTCTGTTACAAGGCTCTAAGAAGGAGGAATGCTTGGAGATGGGGTGAGCAGAGAAGCTCCTCAACAGTGAGCCTAGTGTAGGTGACGTTCAGTAATCATGCTTTGAGCACAGTTCACTTCCTATAAATAGCACGTGTCCCTTGTTCAGGAAAGTGGCAGATATTTAGAAATCCTACCTCTGCCTACTATCTTGATGTGATTGACAGCATAGGAATGGATGCTTACCAGGTCTTCCTGCTTACCACACTTCAGACCAGATAATCCCTCGTCTTTTACATTCACAAAGTCCTCAGTATTGCTTCAAATTCTATTCCCAGCGCCACCACAGTTCGTTATAAAGGGAGAAATCTCCGGATCAAGGCACCCATGTGTCGGGCCCTAAAGAAACTCTGCGATCCCGACGGTAGGTGGCAGGGGAAGGGATGGCATGTGTTGAAGTTTCCAGGGATGTTTTGATGGGCAAACTATTGTACTTTTTGACTCACTCTGTTTAACCTTCGCCTGTGAATAGACTGTTCTTAAAGTGAGTTCCATGTGTCTACTAAGAAGTCATGGCAACTTTCTGACATTCGGTTAATATTCTCAGAAGGCCACTTGGTGACTTCTCCATAGTTCTGCCTTTGTAACTACACAGTTCACCATGTTGCATTTGACCCTTGCTAGGGTTCCTCTGTTCTCCTTGTTTCCAGGCATAAGACAGTCTCCTTTGTTCAAGTTTTCATTTCTCTGTGGTTTTCTGGCAAAGTGTTTTGTTTTCTACCTTGAGGTTTGTCTGCATTGGACTTTCATGGTCTCCTTTCTTCAGGTCTAAGTGATGAAGAGGACCAGAAGCCAGTGCGCTTACCCCTGAAAGTCCCTGTAGAACTACAACCACGGAACAACCACGCCTGGGCACGAGTACAGAGCCTGGCCCAGAACCCACGTCTCAGGTGACATTTAGCATGAGGAAGGGCCCATGACAGGCAGGGCGCGAGGGTTTGGTGTTTCAGTTTCACTCGGTATCCTAGAGAAATAGCTTTTGCACAGTGCCCTGACATCATAAGAGGACAAGGTGTGGAGGTGACAATGTCATGCGAATGCTCTGAGTTGGAGGGTAGTTTTGAGATCCTGAATTGTAATTCTACCAGGCAAAGTTCTTTGTCCAAGTAAGAAAATATGATTGTGAGTGCCTTCAGAATCTTCATCTTACCTGTAAAACCTTGTATTTCCTTATCTTTGATACCCTGAAGATTTGTGGCTAATTTACGAACAAAGCACTGTCATACCTTTGGTCCATTTCCTGTTTACAGTTTGTTTAGTTAAAGTAAAATTCATACCACATTGAATTAGCTCTTTGCCACTTGAATGTTTATAGTTAAGTGGCACTTGGTATGTTGACCGTGTTGTACAACCTTTATCTCAGTTGACTTCCAGAATGTTTTCTTCGTCCCGTGTACCTGTTAGCCATTGCTTTCTCCAGCGCTCGTCTCTCTTCCAACTGCTTTTTATTCTTGGGGATTTGCTTCTTCTAGACATTTAATGTTATTGTAACCACAGAGGAATCTGCTCTATCTGGCATCTCTCAGTGGCTTACTGTTCTGAGCCTCATCTGCTTTATAGCACATATCAGTGCTTCATCTCGTCTATGTGTGTGTTTTATTTTCTTAGGGCAAATTAGGGGTAACTACATACCTCCACTCTTGAAGGCAACGAGCACTGATGGTTTCATTGCTCACACACTAGCCAAGCACTCAAATTGGGAAGGATTCAAATTGGAAAGGTTCTGTGTTTTTTACAGCTTTATGTGAATCTATAGTGATTTCAACTAACAGAGTTTATATTTAGAAATAGGAGTTGAAGACCTTGTGGATCTTACCTTTCCAGTACCTACTTACCTATCATGTGATTTTGGTACAGGCAGTCATTAGAGCTCTTCCAAAACTGACTTTCCTACTCTAACCTTGTTTTTCCTTTCGTAGGATGATTGTGGAGCTACATCGAAAAGTCTCTAGCCTCATTGAATTCTTGAAGCAGAAGTGGGCACTCCATGAAGTACGAATTGTATCTTTTTCCAATTGAAGCAGACCCTCCAAACCTGCCAGCTATTCCTGCTTGGGAATGAGGTCTTGTGTTCCCTAATTCCTGTCATTGCTACAGGTCCCCATGGGAGTTCAACATTCTTGGGTTAGGTGTAAACTAACTTGCCTTGACCAACTTGCCTTGACTGTATTCAGTCCCAGCCACCTCTCTGTGTTTTGAGTGGCCAACTTTCTGTTCTGTGAGACGTTGTCAAAGTAACTCCATCAGTAGATTGGATGGGATGATGTACACACATCACAGCCTCCTTTGTGTCCTTGGTAGGTTATTAACCCTATCTGTTTTCAGGAATAGTTTCTGTCATCAGGTGTGAGTTTCCTGAATACACTGAATACCTGGACCAGCTCAGTTTGGTGGTAGCCTGAGAAAAGTTCCTAGGTGAGCCTCAGGAATATCAAGGGGTAAGTGGGGCTGCTGGGAAAGAAGACGTAGTCTGAAGTCCATAGCTCTCCACTGAAGAGTGCCTTGATCACAGTGTAGTTGTTTGGAGTTGCTCCTTGACAGTGTGCCCAGCGGAAGACACTTGAGGAGAGGCAGCTGCAGGGCTCGAGCACAGCACAGACCCAGGAGAAGGTGGCACTGCACTTGTTCCCAGGCGAGAACTGTACGCTGACACCACTGCCGGGTGTGGCCCGTGTGGTACACTCCAAGGCCTTCTGCACTGTACACTGGCAAGAGGGTGGCCGGTGCAAGCAGGGTACCAAGGACACGCACTCGCTGCCTCCAGCCCAGATCCTGGGCATCCAGAGTGGTCAGGGAATAGCCCGGGGCCAGGTGAAGTGCCAGAGGGGCAGTGCTGAAGCCAAGGGTGGGGGGCGGCTCCTTCCTAATGCAGATGCTTCACAGAGTTCAGGGGAGAGTTCCCCTGAGAGTGCTCCTGGAGAGGGGACAGCTCCAAGTATGAACAGCTCAGATGCCCCTGACAGGCCTCCTCATGGGCACCAGGACTCTGGCCCACAGCTTGAGAAGACCTCACTAGCAGCCCTTGCTGTGGGTGGGGAGAGCCCCATTCAAGAATCTAGGGCCCTGCCATGTTCGTGTGGCCAGCCCCCAGACTTGGAAGATGAACTCTCACTCCTTGACCCCTTTCCCCGATACCTGAAGTCTTGCCAGGATCTCATCATCCCGGAGCAGTGCCACTGTGCAGACACACAGTCTGGGAGAGAGCACCCTCTTCTTGGTATGGTTGCTTCCCCAGAAGCGCTCATGCCCAGCAGCAGAGAGGTTGCAGACAACAGTACCCCTGGCCCGGACCCTCAAACTGGCACCGATCCTCAACTTGACCCCAGGCTTCTGCCAGATATTTGTACTAAAGAGCTGGCAGATGTATCTCCTGAAGAGTCCCAGGAGAAAGGGAGCCCCTCAGAACCTCTGTTGTCTCAGGGACAGCCTGCTGCCAGGCCTTCAAAGGAAGTCCCTGCCAGCCAACTGGCCCAACAGCTGCGTGAAGAGGGCTGGAACTTGCAGACCTCTGAGAGCCTCACGCTGGCTGAAGTCTACCTCATGATGGGCAAGCCAAGCAAGATGCAGCTAGAGTATGACTGGCTGGCTGTGCTGGGCCCTGAGAGCCAGGTGCCCACAGCACAGGGTCAGACTGCCCTACCCCGTTCTCCGCCTTCAGCCCTCCACCAGCAGCGCCTCCTGAACTGCCTCTTGAGGCTCATCTCCACTGAGGTCCACCCCAAGATGGTGAGTGGTTTAGATTAGCCCAGGACATTGAGTAGTTTAAGGTGAGCCTGTGTTGGTGTGTCAAGCATGACTCTTCAGGATTCCAAAGGTAACGTAGTCACCAGGACTGTAGGTCCTATACCCCATGCCAGGGCTATTGAAGGTCTACAATTCAGCACTATGGACATAACCTCTAAATAGACCGAGCAGCAAGGTTATTGGAATTAAGTTGTGACTAGACAGATGGCCTCTGTGGAGATGTGTGGTATGGTCTAGTTCTCAAGGAGAGTAGGCCAGAGCAAACCTTTGAGTCAGTGGAAAAGTGAGAGGTTCTAGCCTCGATTTCAACTGGAAGGTAAGTGAGGCAGTTTGGGACAATATTATGGAAAGTGACGAGTCAGAAGCACTGCTGAGACCCCCAAGTAGGCTCCTGGCTGACAGCCTCAACACCACTGAGGCCTTGTTAGAGATAAGGTTACAGGGCTCAGGCACATGCCTGAGCACATCATCTGTCTGTCCATCCCACCATTGTAGAAACTCAGAAAGGAATACTTAGATTCAGGCCAGGCTGGACTTAAAAACAAAACAAAACAACAGATGGTAAGAATGAAGGAAAAAAGAAAGGACAGATATTGCTAGAGGTTGAGGGAGGAGAGGTGAATGGTAGCCAACCCCCCATAGTGACTTGATGGGCTCTGTTGAAACTCAAGACTGTAGGTCAGAGACAGGTCATCTGTCCTTTGTTCCCCTTTTTCTGCCTGGCAGATCTGTGGCAAGCAAGTACCCCCAAGAGTCCTGAGACTCGAAACTGACCAGAGTCACCTGAAATGCTCAATCTGAGGTGGGAATACTACTATTCCCAGAATGTAGAGGTCAGAAGAAAGAGACAGGGAGCAGGGAAAGGTTGGCGATGGGCGTGGGCAGAGCAGATGAGGCTATGGTAAAGACCTGGGCAGAGCTGTAGAGGGACTGTTGTGAAATAACCGTAATGAGACGGTGTGGCTGCTTCTGGGAGGAGTTCAGAATTTGGGCATCTAATCAGGTCTCTCTGAAGAAGAACAGCAACAAGAGGTAGAATGCCTTTGTGAAGCCCTAGGACTTCTATTTTTCTGCTATCAGTTTGTATGTGAAAATGTGAGTGTTCAAATGCATGGCACACATGTGGAGGTCAGAGGACAGCTTTTCAGGAATCAGTTCCTCCCTGTTTTGAGACAGAGTCCCTTGTTTTTTCTGTCACTGCACTTCACTTCTCCAGGCTGGTAATCCTGTGAGCTTCTTTCTGGTCTATTCTGTCTCATAGGGGATTACACACGTGTGCCTTCACATCCAGCTATTTACATGGTTTTAGGGAATCAGATTTAGATCATCAGGTTTGTGAGTCAAGTGCCTTTACCTGCTGAGCCATCTCCCTGGCCCCTGAAGCCATCCCTTAAAGGGTCCTGGATACTCACGAGGTTGGGAGCTTGGCAAAAAGCTTTTCATCTGTGACCAGTATTCAGGAGTGAATCTGTTTCCTCCTTTGGTCTCACAGTAGTAGGAGTTAACATGGTTGTCTTAGGCAGTCTTTTCGCCATGGCTTTGTCACTTACCAGTACGTCTTCCCTATGCCGTAACTGTTCTGCTGGTCCCGTCCCCTCTGTGCTGTAGAGCTGCTTGTCTGTTCTGTCCACCACTATTTGGCAGTGGAGATAGGCTAGGATCTCCTGAGGAAAGCAGTGAGTTGCTTTAACTATTCATCTCACTCCTTGGGGATTTGTAACTTTCCCCCTCCTTTTCCTTCGAATTCCTGAAGTTTGTCATGTGTTTTGTTTTGTTTTTTCACCATACAGCCCAGGGTGTCTGGCTTGGAACTCATTCTGTAGATCATGTTGGCCTCAAATTCCCACAGATCTGCCCGCCTCTGCCTCAGAGTACTGGGATTAAAATATGTCCACACCTTGCTTAGTGATTTGAATCACTGGAGAGTTAGAATTAGTCAGGTGTAGTTAATGCTTGTGGTCCTAACACTTGGAAGACTAAGTCAGGTCTTCTAAACCAGAAATTTGAGGTCAGCCTGGGCAATTTAGTTGGTAAATGCCAACCAAGTTAGGCTACAGGACGAGACACCATTTCAGTAAGGAATACTACCCGTGGCTGCATGCACATGTGTACAATAAAAGTAAATTTTTAGAAAAATAATGAAATAATTCGCTAAATTTGCAAATTGTGACTTTGGGGCATTCTATTCCAAAGTAGGTTGGGTTTTGGTTTGGTTTGGTTTGGTTTGGTTTGGTTTGGTTTGGTTTGGTTTGGTTTGGTTTTTGCCACCATAGAAATGAATGTCCTTAGGATATTTATGATAGAACCATTTTTCTTGAGCTGAGTCTTTGAACCTCAAACCTGGTGTCTTTCCAGGCTTTTGAAGCAAACACAGCATCAACAGCCTCAGTCAGGCCCACCCAGGAGGAACAGTCCACATCCCCCCCAGGAAAGGTAGTGACCATCAGCTCTCGGAGTCCCCGCTGCTCTCGAAACCCATCTGCCCTCCGAAGCAGCAAGACTTTCCCATCTGGTTCTGCACCTTGTTCCCCAGGTATGCCTCAGGGAATCCTGATGTCATTGGTACTGTATCTGAACTGGACATATGATCCTGCTGTCTACCAACCATGGTCTAGTGGGCATAGCAGAGGCAGAGGATCACTTCCATTAGGGATGATGAACACAGGGAAATTTCATAAAGGACCTAGTTCATGTGATGAGTGTAGGATAGTCTTTATTGGTCTGGTTACATTGAAAGTGTAACCTTGTATTTTGCATGTGAAACCTTCATAATCTATTGAGTGGCTTAAAGCTATTAAGGTGGACTGGTTCTTAATTCTGTAGTGACTTAATTTTCTTTACCTCCAAAACATTCAAATAAAGCAGTCTTCTATTAATGGACATGGTGGCCGTTTAATGCAGTATCAGAAAGAAAAATGAAATAACCTGCTTTTTAGTATACCCTTAAATTTTCTGAGAAATAATTTTGGTTTATTTTGTGGTACTAAGGATGGAACTCAGGGCAACATACATGTTTGCTGCTGAGATACCACCCCAGACCCTAGGGGAAAAAAAATTAATTCTCTTACTGGGTACATAGAACCCCAAGATAAGCATGGCTGACCCATTTATTTCCCAGGGCATCAACTTTGTTTGCTTTAACCTACTGAAACTATTTTACCTCTGTTATAAGGAAGCCCCTACATTGGTATACTAGAGATAACAATAATTCTTTTGGCCAGACAAATATAGTATCCTGTCAGGTTAACAGTTCTTTAATAATACTGTTTTTGTTCAAGAACATTGATGACTTTACAATATCTCTTGACTTTTTTGTGAGCAGCCTTTCCACTAAAGACTGTTTGCCTGATAGTCCTTCCAGTGACCTGTGTGGACCTCAAAGCTGTGAATTTGGGGGTCACATCTTGCAGTTGCTTGTTTTTTGTTTTTGTTTCCTCTTTCTTATTCTTTTAGGGGCTGCATCAGCAAAGCCCAAGCCACTAATCCCTGAGATGAATGCCTGTTCCTTGAAGTAGGCCAGGTAGCAGCTCATGACTGCTTCTTCTGCCTTCCAGTGAAATTTTAAATGTCCTCTAACATTCTCTGTCTGATTGAGGATTATAAGGCCCAGGATCCTGTACTTCCAGAAATGTGTACTATGTCTGGCAAACTTGGCCTGTGAACTATATGTGGCCCATACCAAGCCATGAACCATGAAGGTGCTTTGTAGCAATACTTCTGCAATGGAATTTCAACAGGGTTATTATACAATAAATATTTTCTGTCCTGTTATCATTGGGGCTGTTTTCTGCAAAATAAATGATTTTAAAACCAGGTGTCACTAGTGTGTAGCTATAGCCTACTTGTTCTAATTACCTGTGTTACACAAATAGCTACCTAGACACATAGCTACACTCTCTTTCAGAGTATGACTGCTCGCTGCAGCCACACGAAGTTGAGTTGCTATAAAGACAAGATGGACACTGAGTGTGTTGCTAACTAATCTCTTCAGAGAGTTTGCATTCTTTTGGTCAGCTAGGAATGTCCCAAGGTCCTGTTAGCTCTCAAATCTTGGTTAGTTGTCCTGCCCTTTCTCTCTCGATTATAGAACAGAGGTTATGTGCTTTTATTCAAGAGGCCTACGGTCCCTGTAAAGTAGGGTCAGGAATCAAAGGAATCAAGGCAGGACTTTACTAGATAAAGTATAGGCAGCTGAGAATTGTCTGCTTTCTTTCCTGGTTTACTTCCTAGTGGACTGCCTTTGCCCTGGAGGGGATGGATGTAAGTGTCAGACCTTGTTCTCCCTTTTGTTCCAGGCTTAAGGAATCCCCCAAGACCTCTCTTGGTAGCTGGTTCCTCCAGCGCAGGAAGCGGTGACTCAGATGGTGGCCTCTTTGCTGTACCAACAACTTTGCCTCCCAATAGTCGACATGGAAAGCTCTTCTCTCCCAGTAAGGAGGCGGAACTGACTTTTAGGCAGCACCTGGACTCCATCAGCGTGAGTACTGGAGCGCAAGTGGAGCGGCTGTGGTCTGCTTCGTGGTTAGAGTGCCTGTTTTAGGACTCATGTTCTTTCTTCCATAGATACAGTCAGACTTCTTCTCACCAAAGCCCAAGAAACTACGCAAACGGCACTTACGAAAGCCACTGGTGGTCCAGGTGAGGGAGCATTGATTGAGTCTACGTATGCATCTGCATTGTGTCTATCAGGTCCATACTCCAGCTGCTGATGAACTGTCCAGGAGATGCTGTTTTCTTACATCTTTGGTTTTCAGAGTGAAATAGAGAAAATTCTTACCTTTGTCTTTTTTATTAATAGAAAAAATAAAGCCATGAACAAATAATTTACTGATACTCATATAAATAAAGATAGGTTTGGATTAGCATTGAAAATTATTTACGTACCAGGCTTGGGTTCCAGGTCACAAGAGTATTCAAACTGGAGTTTCTCCAGGAGCTGTTAGAGATTGGGCTTAAAACAGTCAGGAGGCAGGAGTTGGGCTGGCAGAAGCAGGCATTTGTAGAACTGTAATAAGTGGTAGGACAACCTACAGGTGCCGTTCACCAGCCATGACACAGGATTACAAGACACCCAAGAAAGAAGACGGCAGCACTTACAGATGAAAGATAAGGGAAGTAAGGCTGTAATAATGTAGCCATAGGAATTTGTGTATGAATGTAGTTTTTGGAAGATGTGAATAGACCAGTTTCTTTTTGTTAGTTTCTTAGCAATCTTTTTCTCTGGATCTGGTGAGGTGGCTTAGTGGGTAAAGGTATTTGCCACTAAGTCTTACAATCCTAGTTTCATCCTTAGAACCCACATTTTAGAAGAAAAAAAATCCAACTTGTAAAAGTTGTCTTCTGGTCTGTACACTCAGGTCATGATATGTCTACACACTAAATAAGTGAACATAATTTTAAAATTTTAAAGAAAATATTTTTCTTTCTTGAGATTAGTTTATTTATAAATAAGAAGTATGCTGAGCATAGTGGCTACAGGGATGACCATGTTATAAAACAAAGGAGCATTGCATGGACGGTACGTATACATTCTAAACTCTTTAATTTTTGCTCATGCTCCCTTAGTCCTCAATTTAACCTCAGTTCTTTAATCTTTGTCCCAGAATTAGGAAAATACTTCATGAGTTGGTAGGCGTTCTGTGGCTGCTAAATTCAGCATCTGAATATTAAGCTAAACCCCATGATACACCCAGTCTGTTTTTTTCTTTTCTTTTTTTTTTTTTCTGAATGAATGTGTGGTGGCACAGTGTAATGTACAGGTCTGTGCATGTGAAGGCAGAGGTTGATAGCAAATTTCTTCCTTAATGGCTTGCAACCTTATATCTTGAGTGTCAAGGCTTCTCACTTGAACTCAGGGCTCATAAACTTTGCTAGTCTAGCTAGCCAGCTTGCTTAGGAGATCTCTTGCCTCTGCTTCCTGCAATCTGGGGTCAGCATTCCCTCCTGATAAGTGGGTGCTGGGGATCTGAGTTCCTGTGTCATACATGCATGGCAAGTGCTTACTCCCTGAGCCATCTCTCCAACCCCGTCCTGTTTTTATTATTTACACACACATATACACACATATATATCATAAAACTCATTTAAAGTACACATTTAGACAGGGTTTAGTATAGGTATGGAGTGTTACCAACTCTTGATCATTTCATAGAATATTGTCATCACTCAGAAATCTTATTCCCAACTGCCAGCCCACCTATCTCTATGGACTTCCCTATCCTGAGTATTTCCTGAGGTGGGATTGTACAGTATGTGGTCTTTTCCACTTAATATTTTTGTAAATCATTAAAGCTTTGTTGATATAGAGCCATAGTCAGTTACATCCACAGCTCTCTGTGACTGCTTTCTTACCACAAGATCGAGGGCAAGAATAGCCCCAAAGCATTCTGACTGGTCCTTTATGGAAAAACTTACTGAGTACTGCTCTCAGCCTCTGGAATGAGGTATGGTGAGCCTCGAGAGTGTGCAGAGTTGTAAGTAAATCACACTATTATCCCCAGCTGTTTCTGGGCTCTTGCTGTTTGCCAACGTCCTGGGGAGATCATGCATGAGACAGGGTCTTAAGGCAACCCGAGAAGTTTATATATGAACAGAGAATATCACCTCTATGCCAGGCTCAGTTGTATCGTGATCCAATGTGACTGACAGATCTTGTAAATGTTACACTGTTAGCAGCATCAGTGGTCAGCGCAGGTTCTTCTCAGCTGAACAGGTTCTTATAAGTACATCAGGACCTTTTGTTCACCTGCAGGAACGAGACCTGAGACCTGGAAATGACCAACTCTTGACCTTCAGTGCCTCTTGATACAAGCTGTCCCCTAACTTTCCCCATCCTGCCCACCAAAACGCTCAGCATTGAGCCCTATCAGCCTACCTACCCCATGGTTATTAGCAGATACCCATATCTGCCTTCCAGCCAAGTTAAGAACATTCTAGGTTTGAATCCTAGAATCATCCTTCTGATGATCTTCAGTTTTCCTCGAGAAAGGTCTTTGTAGAGTGATCTTTTTTAACACTGGTGTCTTCCTACCACCTTTACTATGTGCATTTTTTTTTTCTCACAGAGGACGCTGCTCCCTAGACCTTCTGAAAACCAGTCCCACAATGTGTGCTCCTTCTCCATCCTGTCTAATTCTCCTATAGCTGGTAAGGCCAGGCATTCCTGGGATAGCTTTCCCTGAATATGCCTCACTGTGGACTATAGGTGTGGGTTTGCGTGGCTACTTGTGTAACATTTCTTGCACACCTATGCTGATTCTACCAGCATATACTTAGTGTACCCTGTGTTGGGCATGACTGCCATTGTGACCAAGAACACTGCCAGTGGCTGGAGTGGAGTGTACCTTTTTTTTTCTTCCCAAGACTGGGTTTCTTTTTGTAGCCCTAACTGTCTTGGAACTCAGTCAGTAGACCAGGCTAGCCTCAAACTCACATTCACTTGCCTCTGCCTCCCAAGTGCTGGGGTTAAAGCTGTGTACCATCACTGCCTGGCGAGTGTACTTTCTTTAGAGGTGTACTCTGTTATCTTTGTTGGCGGCACTTCTGAGTTCAGTGAAGTGTATTCACTTTCTGCCTGTAGAGTCATGACAAACACTTATAAAATAAATGTGTTGTTGTGGGTGTATGGTGACATTTTTTATTTATATAATCTTTAAACTCAGTGGGTGCCTTGGTACTTTAATGTAAACCTTAGAAAGTGTGGGTTCTGCAGTTAATATACATGCTTGTTGATTTATCTTGACTAATCTTTTTTTTTTTTTTTTGCTTATGATTCTGGGGATCAAATCCAGAGTTGTAGACAGCTGAGCAATTGATGTATTTCTGAACCATGTCTCCATGAATTTTTTTTTTTAGATTTATTTATTTTTATGTGTATATGTAAGTGCCTGTAAGGGTGTCAGAAGCCCATGAAGGCCAGGTCTCCTGCAGTTAGCAGAGGTCAAGTCATTGGGTGGGTGCTAGGAAACAAACCTGGGTCCTCGGCAAAAGCAGCAAATGCTCTTAACTACTGAGCCTCTCTAGTCCCTTCATGAGTTGTCTTCTTTTATTTTTTAATTTTATGGGTATGGATGTTTTTTCTGTATGTATGTATGGGCAACATGTGCTTATCTAGTGCCCACGGAGGCCAGAACAGGGTGCTGGAGCCCCTGAAACTGAAGTTAATGGGTGATTGGGCACCATCATGTTAGTGTTGGGAACTGAACCTAGACCTCCTTCTTGAAAGCCTGTGTGATAATACTTCTCATTCCCCAAGTTAGCAAGTGTTTGGAGTCTTGAGTGCCTTGCTATGATCCTAGCTGTGTCTGTGAAAGAAGCCCTGCATAACTCCAGTTGTACACTGTAGAACATGAACAAATGGGCTGATGTGACTACATTTATTTTCCCCTTACAGGGAGAGGCTGGTTCCGGCCCATCCAGTCTTCTCTGACCAAAGCAGCTCTGTCTCGACCGATAGTGCCCAAGGTCCTCCCATCTCAGGCCACTAGTCACCTGCCCAGTAAGTCTGAAATGTACACATAGTTGACAGCCACTATATGAGGTTCCTTAGTCGCCTTTTTTGTCATACATCTTTGTAATATTCTCTTCTTCTCCAAGGCATAATGTCTTACTGCTTTGCTAAGCGTATTACAAATCCCTTGGGTCTTCACTGAAGAGAGGTGGAGGGAGAAGCTGTCCCAAGCTCTCTGGGCATACATCATGGAGTGGAGTGTTATGGAACAGAGGTTTGATATATCACTCCTGTTGCCAGGTGCCATCGACTTAGCAGCTCAAAGTGCTGGCATCATCCCTGGAAGTCCCTTGCCAGTTTTAGATACTGATGGTTCATCTGGCATCTCTCCACTGACTTCAGAACAAGTAACCACTGCCATCTCGGGGCAGGGTGACACTGGACCACACCAGAACAGAGAGCCTGTTACTTCCGTAACGGTGAGTGCATTTGCAAGTGCTGTTTGGTGTTACCAATTGCTTCTGGAGCAAGGCCATGGGCTGGCCTTGTTGTCATACCAGACCCTGTTGCACCTTTGGAGGCCTGATGTGTTAGAGAGGACCCTGAGCCAGAGAAGCCAAGGTTTGAACATCTACCATGGAACACAGAGTGGGAGGAGTGAAAAGACGTGTTTGCTCTGTAATGTTAAAGAATCCATTGCTAAAACATTCATGATGGGATAGTTCTGCATTTCAACACAAAGGCTGACATCAGCCCATGGGCCCTATTCGGGTGGTACTAAGTGCTTGCTATATCTGGGTGGAGAGTAGTTCATATACTCTTGACCACTTTTTTTTTTAATCATGAGTTTCCAAATACTCTGATTTCTTGGCCAGTTTGAAAGGAGATGCATGGGGAGACCCCGTGGAGCTCTAGGGCTTGTGATTATGTGACCAGACTCTTACTGAGCTGTTAAGTTTCTTCTTAAAAAGCAATAAAAGATTGTTAAGTGCAGAGGCAATGCTCTTGTGACACTCCATCATTTCCAGCCTGGAACACAGTCCATTCCTGCACCTCTGTCTGTAGGAGGACTGAGGTGTCTGAGAAGAGTTTTTCTTTGGTCCTCAGCCAAACAAGCACTTGGCTGTTAAACCAACTCGGTGTGAACCACTCATCGGTCTTCTTGTTGTTCCAGGGTACTAGTGACCCATTTATCAGCGTTCCAAGACCAGAGCAGGAGCCAATGACAGACAGTTTCCAGGTAGAGTACACTTGAGGGCTTCAATCCTCCCTGAGTGCACAAACCATTCCCAGCAACACTGATGTCCTTCCACCTGCCTTACCTGTCTCGTCATGAATGAATGGACCATGCTGTTCCTGGTTCCAGCTTCCTTCATTAAACTCCGTGTCTAAAGGACTGGGTTTTCTTGGCTGGGAAGCAGGACATAATTGGCTGGTGACTTTCTATGTTGGAGGTTTTGGTTTGGTTAGGTGTTTCGCTATGTAGCTATGGCTGTCCTGGAACTTACTCTGTAGACCAATCTGGCTTTGATCTCACAGAGATCCACTTGCCTCTCCTCCTGAGTATTGGTATTAAAGGCATATGCCACCACTGCCCAGACAGCTGGTGGCTTTCCGAGCATTACGTTTCACCTAGATGCCACCAATGGAAAAAATTTCACACTAACCTGGCTTTACTTTCTTCTAAAGAATATATTTCTTGAGTATGCTCCTCCTTTGGAAGAATGGGAGATTCCTGCATTTGTTGCAGCTACCAAGCTAGAGATGAAGGTTGTGCTCAATGTGACAAGTGTTCCTGGGCATCTTGTGTCCGAACAATATTTGTCTCCTTCCTGGCAGAGATCATCTGTTCTATCCTTACCTGAGCTGCCCAAGACTCATCTCCAGAATGGCCTTTCCACACCTTTACCCTCATCGGAGAGCCCCAGCACCCGGCTCTCCCCACCCAATGTTTCTGCACTACTGGACATATCCCTACCTGGCCCACCTGAGGATGTTCTCTCACAGGGAGAACCTGCCACACAGATCAGTGACTCCATCATTGAGATTGCCATCAGCTCTGGCCAGTACGGTAAGTACAGGTGACCTTTTATACCTTTTCCAGAACCAAGTTCTTACTAAGATAGGGCATCCAGACTTACAAAGGGGACCTAAGTGTTATCTGCCTAAGTATTTGCCAAACTTCCTGGTAAGGTTCCAGTGTAGCTGTCAGTTTTTAGCACTGAATATCTGCCACTACTAGGTTCCTCTGCCTGGCTCTCTCAGGAGCAGTACCTGGAAGTGGTCTGGTTGGGTTGCTCCTGACCTTGAGATAAGAATGGAATGGTTTAGAAGACTTTCTGAAGCCTGGGGGCCAGTTTCCTATTTATGCATCTCTGGGAGGCAACCCACATGTTTTGCAGCTGATGCTTAGGAAGTAGCTGCACAGATAATCGCTAAGGGCCTGATCCCACTCATTCTGTGATGGTGTTCCTGGTGGTAGTGGCACCGCTTATTGCCTGCTGACATGACTCATTGCGGGGTTCAGACAGATATGAGTTCTCGGCCTTTTAACCCATGGACTTGATAGGTCCTTGTCTTGTCTAAGTCCTTGCTTTTCTCAGTTGTAGACTAGGAACTCTGTACCCCACAGGATGGAATCAGGAGCATCATATTTCCCATGGAGCTGGTGCATAGCTCTGGGCACAGGACCTGACCCTGCCTGTTATGTTTTGCACTGTGCCCTTCTTATAGATGAAGTTGCCTTGAAGACTCTGTGATCCTTGTTTGTAGACAGTTGTCCCTTTGGTGTGGACCCAATGCATCCTGGGTATCCTGTGTTCAGCGGTACATAGCCTCTGCCCCCTGCTACCTTGCTCTGGGTTCAGGGAGGCATTGCTGACGTTGAATTTTGGTTGACAGGTGAAGGAGTCCCTCTTTCTCCAGCAAAACTAAATGGCAGTGACAGTTCCAAGAGTCTTCCCTCCCCATCCAGCAGCCCCCAGCCCAACTGGATTGCCTCTCCCACTCATGACCCACAGTGGTACCCCAGTGACTCCACAGATTCCTCGCTCAGCAGCTTGTTTGGTGAGTGTTTCTGGAGGAATCTTCTTTCCAAGATTGGAATCAGGCCACACCTCTGAGAGCACTTTTGCTCATTTTCCAACTGTTTATTTCTGAGTTAACTTTTTAAAAGTATAAATTACATATAGGAAAATGCAGATTTTCAGAGTGTAGTTCACTGAATGTTGGCACAATTATAGAGTCTGTACACAGAATATTCAAGCCACTCATCTGGTTTCCAGTGCCTTCTCTTGTTCCAAACTTGATCATCCTTGATTATGGGTACTGTTCCTCGTGGGGAATACATGAACCCAGCCCCACACCCAGTGGTTTTGCTGTCTCAGACATGAGCAAAATCATCTGCAATCCATGAAGTTAGAATCAAACTTAATGCCCATCAGTAAGGGTCTGGCCACAGAGAATACAATGTAGGAGAGTACGGCACCTTGGAACCCTTAGAAAATGATTAATATGAATGTACACTAACATTATTAGATGACAAAAGCCTATTATAGCATAATGATGCCATCTGTAACCCTGGAAACAAGTGTGAAGGTAGAGACCTAAAGGTGCCTGACTGGGCTGTCTGGACACCTATGTCTGACTCAGCTTTCTTTTTGCAGCCAGCTTCATATCCCCAGAGAAGAGCAAGAAGATGATGCTGCCAACTACTGCTGTTGGGGCCAACAGTGGCACATCTTTGCTTGGCCCTAGCTTGTTGGATGGAAATTCAAGGGACTCTTTTGTGTCCAGGTCTCTTGCTGATGTTGCAGAAGTAAGTGCAGTGCCATATTCCTGAACTTAACTTCCCACCCCATTCTGGAGGCTGTGGGGTCTCTCCTAGGTCCTCTGGATCTTAAGGAATGTTCATGGGAACTGTGTATCAGATAGACAACCATACATAGTCTCTGAGAGCTGACAGCACTGGGACAACTGATAGCCCACAGCAAACTGTAAGTAGCAGCTGTCCTTTGTAGGCTTCTTAATCTGGGAAACCTAGGATCAAGGTGGAGAGCCAAGTCACCAAAGGCAGTCAGAGAGCTGTCCTTCTCTTGCTGTGTAACCTTGGACTGTCTCAGTTACCCAATCTTAAGGTATAATTCCATCTGAAAGTTGTAATGTTATTTTAATCACTTTCCTGTTCTGGCTGCAGAAAGCTTTTGAGTATCATTTTCCTGTAATGTTTTATGGCCATGACCTTGTGGGACTTAGGAACAGGTTCTGCAGTAGAGTTCTGTCCTTTATTTACTTGTTCTTTCCCATGTTTGGGCTGGCTGTCTGTTCCTGCAAGCATCCAGAGGTCCTCACATTATCTGTCATTTTCTGTGTCTGCCCAGCCAGTTAGGACTACAGAGCCCTGGAGGGAGGAGGGAGAGCAGCTGTGGCGCTAGCTAGAGAGCTGCAAGCATCATGAGAGACTTGATTAAAGCACACACCATTTGAGAAAGATGCTCAATCAGCATTTCCCAAGCTGGTTCCCTGGATATCAAGGTCTTGCTAGTTATTCCAGAAGAGGGTTTTTATGTTTTTTGTTTTTGTTTGTTTGTTTGTTTTGTTGGATTTTTTTTTTCTATTCAAGACAGGGTTTCTCTGTAGCTTTGGAACCTGTCCTGGAACTAGCTCTTGTAGACCAGATTTGCCTCGAACTCACAGAGATTCTCCTGCCTCTGCCTCCCGAGTGCTGGGATTAAAGGTGTGCACCAGCTCCGACCATTTCCAGAAGAGTTTTATATCCAGACATTTGAAGGAAAGTTCAGATTAAAACAATATTCAGAATAGCTGTTTCCATGGTGCATGCTAGCATGATCCTGTAGTCCCAGCAATTGGGAGACTTGGGAAGGAGGATAGCTGTGGGTTTGAAATCAGCCTAGGCTAAAGAATAAAGCCCTGTCTCGGGGGGCGGGGGGGGGAAATCAAACAATAATAACTATGAATATGCAACTTTGGGGGCGGGGCCAGGGAGATGGCTCAGTGGTCAAGAGCACTGGCTGCTCTTCCACAGGACCTGGGTTTCAGTACCTGGTAGCTCACACCTATCTGTGACTCCAGTTCCAGGACTTCTGACATACAGACATACATACAATACAGATATACATGCTAGCAAAACACCAGTGAACATAAAATAAAAACAAAAAAAGACTGGGAGGAATGGGTTCATCAGTAAATTTTTTTAAACCCAACTTTTTCACAAAAATACATTAGTTTCTCAGTTTTCCAATGTGAATTTTGAGATGGTGGAGTCATGGAATGCTTGGACTTCTGAACCATGACATGCTTGACAATTTCAGAACAGTAGTAGAATAGAGGGATTGGAGAGATGCCTAGGTGATTAAGAACACTTAACTTTGCATTCATAAGGACAGGAGCTTGGTTGCCAACACTCATGTAACAACCTGGCCGTCCAACCTTTGCCTGTAACCCAGCTTTAAGTGTGGGAAGGTGCAAACAGGAGGATCACCTGGGACTTGCTGATTTCTAACCTAGCCTAAAAATTTAAAGGTGGTGGTGGTGTGTGCCTTTAATCCCAGCACTCAGGAAGGAAGAGGCAGACGGGTCTCTATGAGTTTGAGACCAGTCTGGTCTACAGAGCGAGTTCCAGGACAGCTAAGACTAAAGTGAGTGACTTTTAGACAGAAAAAAAAAGAAAAACCAACCTACAGTCCACAACCCCAGAGAACCTAGACAACAAAGAGCACCCTAAGAGAGATATATATGGTCTGCATAGGAAGGAGCAAAAGACAAGATTTCCTTAGTAAATTGGGAGCGTAGAGGTCATGGAAAAGGGTAGAAGGGGACGGGAAGATAGGAAGGGGAGTGGAGAAAAATAAATAGCTCAATAAAATCAATTTAATTAAAAAAAAAAAAAGGAAAGCCTGTCTTGAAAAACCAACCCCAGGATCAAGGAGAAATCCCGCCTCATAGGAGTAGGTGGAGAGTGGTAGAGGACATTTAGCACACCAAAGTGTGCATACAGACAAATGCACATATAAGCTGTTAAAGTAGTACAGCAGTACTATGAATCTTCCTCACATAATCTTTGTGTAGGGATGTGTGTGTTTATGTGTACATATGTGTGTGGAAGCCAGGAGTCCACAAATCTTCCTACCTTAATTTCTCTCAGTCTTATTTTTTAAATTTTATTTCGTTATCTACTCTGTCCTTATGACAGAGTATGTGAGGGGTTAGATCTGAGCACAGCTTTTAAAAATTGGTTTTCTCCTACTCTGTATGCCCCAGGGGTTGAACACAGGTTATTTGCGTTAGCAGCAAGCACCTTTATCCACTCCGTATAGCACTAGCCTGCTACCTTATTTACTGAAGGAAGCTGACCTGGAGCTCATTGATTCCGGTAAGCTGACTGGCCAGTGAGCTCCAGGAGCTACCTGTCTCTGATCTCCTAGCTTTTTTATGAGTACCGGAGACTCGTATCTTTATGCTTTCAAACTCAAATCTACATGCGTTCAAGGAATGCACTGTACTAACTGAGTTATCTCTGGAACCCTGTCTTATACAACATTTGGTATTTCTCAAGTCTCTTCACTATGGATTCTTTACTCATAGGGCTCCTGGTCCATGAATGTTTGACACAAAAAAGACTGTTCTTTCCTTTCCAGTTAGTGTGGACACTGTAAGTCCCTGGTATTTATGATATGGGCACTGCTTGGAGTCAAGAATGCTGAGTTTCAAGCCAGCCAGACTCCCAAGTCAGCATTTGCATTTTTCCTGGTGATGCGGTATTCCAGACAATGAGCACCACAGAATACTGTGTCAGTAACAAGTAAAGGACACATTCACTTGCAGAAAGAGCCAGTGTATTCAGCAGAGGGTCTTCCCAAGACCTCTGTACTTTAATGACCTCTGCCTTTGGAAAGGGCTTTCAACATCTTGAAGTGTGATAGCAATCATTTATGAATGCAGTGATCTGATTATGGAATCCTAGTGACAATAATGGGTCAATTTTATGGGGAGAACGGAAGCTGTTTTGGCCACAGGTTGATACCGTGGATGCAAGGTATGAATACATAGGTGGAGGAAGTCTGTTTTGGGACATGGTCTTGCTCTATACTTTGGACTGGTCTTTAACTCACAAAACTTCTGCCTGCTTTAGCCTCAAAAATTGTAGGGTGTACATCACTTTCCTGTCTTTGCTCTACTTTTCTTTTAACATTTGTGTGTGTGTGTGTACACGTACATGCATGTGCACATGCATAGCAATCAAAAGACAGTTCATAAGAGTGTTTTCTCCTTGGTTCCAGGAATCAAGCTCAGATTATCAGATTTGGCAGCAAATACTGTTACACACTAATCCATCATTCCAGCCCCCTTTCTCTAGAACAAATTTCAATTTGTTCAACATTTCCAGTAAGAATTTTTAAATTTGCTGGATGATAGTGGCACACACCTTTAATCCCAGCACTTGGGAGGCAGAGACAGGTAGATCTCTGTGAGTTCAAGACCAGTCTGGTCTACAGAGAAAGTTCCAGGACAAGCTCCAAAGCTACAGAGGAACCCTGTCTTCAAAAACAACAATAACAAAATAAATGAATTTTAAAATTTAGTTCTTGCTGTATTTATTCATATCATATAGTTAGTTCACTGAGAAAAATTCATGCAAGCCTTACCAAATGTTACTATAGTAGCTGTGTGGACAGAGGCCCCTGTTCTCATGAGACTTCACTGTAACGGTCAGCTCCACAGGACAATGTCTTTCCATACCCAGGACTTACAGATTTCTGTGTCTACCTTGCTACTGTGCTGAGGATACCATTTTTCTAGTGTTTTTTGAGTAGCTGCACTCTGTGCCTCTTCACGCATGTTCATGTACCCATACCCACATGCGATTCTGGTGCTCTGGAGAGCCTCGTTTCATTCCTCTCTGAGCACCTTGCTCTGCTTGCTTTGATCTCCCCCTTCTTTTGTCACTGTTGACCTTTCTGTGGTCTGTCTTCTTTGTGAGTGTTGGGGCGTGGCTACTATAATCTCAGCATCTAGGTATTTCATGTTCCCAGGGTCTTTCCTAGGATGTTGTGCAGAGTATGCACTTCAAGAAAGTCCATGTGCTTAGACTAGACCAACAAGGTTTCTGAAGTTCCTTGTAGAGTAATAGGCTCCTTCTGTTGACATTCTGCTCTTGGAGCCAAGAGCCTCTAGTCAGGATGGTAAGCCATCGTCCAGCTAATTTGGTCTTCTTGTCCCCTCTGTCCTACAGGTGGTAGATTCCCAGCTGGTGTGCATGATGAATGAGAACAGCATTGACTACATATCTCGATTTAATGACCTGGCACAAGAATTGTCCATTAATGAACCTGGCCGACGAGAGGTTCTTTTTGATGGTGGAGGAGGTGGTAATCCTGTTGGTGACCTCTCTCAATGACGGTGCCTTGTGACACGGGCATCCTGGAATCCACAAGGGAAGTCTGCGGGGCTGGCCCATGAAACTGTCTTCACAGTAGGGAGAGTCAAGCCCAGAATCGCCAGAAGTCCGTGAACCAGAGCACCTCCAACAGCATACGATATGCAGCCCATAGGAGCAACTGAGCATGGCCTGTCCCAGCAAGCAAGGACAGTACCGTGCACCGAGACCAGGACAAGCTCTGAGAAGGGTAGACATCAGAAATTCTTTGAGTATCAGTCCTTCCTCAATCCTGCAGGCTGTGTGACAATCCCACCTGTGTATCTGCATGTGAAGCCTTCTAGAGGGTCTCCTTCTTGCAAGAGACGTGCCTGGTGTTCCTTTTGTCTTGGGAGCTGTTATCCTGTGTTCAGGAAGACCACAGCCACTGCTGCTTTCTTTCTGATATCCTTTCCCTACTTGGCTGTTGTGTTTGTAGTGATGCTACAAGGGATAGTGAGCATGAATCAGGCTCTTTCTTGGTGGTATCTACAAGCTAATACACTTCCTGGATGCCTTGACCATGAAGCAGAGAAGGGTCCCAGAGTCATGTAGCTAGCAGATGTTTGGTTCTTCCTGTCATAAAAGGGCAGGGGGAGTATGTCTTGCAGGTTGTATGGATGTTTTATACTATCCTACAAAGCTGGTTGGAAATGGTTTTCTTGTGGTTTAAGAATAGGAGACATGGCCAGACAGCGGTGATGCATACCTTTAATCCCAGCACTCAGGAGGCTGAGGCAGGCAGATCTCTGTGAGTTCGAGGTGAACCTAGTCTATAGAGCTAGTTCCAGGACTCCTAGGTCTATTACATAGAGAAACCCTGTCTCGAAAAACAAAACAAAACAGAACAAAAAGAAGTAGACGTGAACAAGGAATATTAAGAGTCCTCTTTCTAGGTGGCTTTGTTCTCTTCCTGTGCTTGATGCTTAATGTCAGTTCTTTCTAGGTGAACTAAGATACCATTCTACTTGCCTGCCCCAACCCCCCTACAATACACTGCTGTGTCTATAAAGCTTTTATGTGTGCCCTAATTTTTTATGTATTATTGCTGGTGTCTGAAGGGTATATTTACCCCAGGCTGCCTCTCTTCCTATTCTGGAACTCAAGCAGGGTTCACATGTCAGAGTATGTTAAGAGCTCACCACTTGGTGGTGTTTTAACAGCTCTTTTCTGGACCCCATGATGGTCAGCAATCATGATTGAGGCCATCCTGCTTAGAATGGCGCCAACAAGAGCTTTGCACTCTGTAGATCCTTGCAGCACAGTCACTCTCCTGGCCCCAGTGTGTTCAGGGTGAACAGGTGACGCGTGCAGTGCCCTCTCACCAATCCCTCTCCACACAGCAGCCAGGACTAACAGGTCCTTTTCTTCTCTTTTCTTTCCTTTGCTTTTGGCAGGGTTTTTCTGTATAGTCCTGGCTGTCTGTTGTGTAACTCAATCTGTAGACCAGGCTGGCCTGGAACTCAGAGATCTGCCTCCCAAGTGCTGGGGTTAAAGGCGTGCGCCACCAAACTTGGCTTGACAGTCCCTGACTCCTGAAACTGCCACCTCTGCTCTCTACCTGTTCTCTCCTTCCTTGTAGAGTAGTCCTTGAGACCTTCCTAGGCCCTTGCTTCTCTCTGTCTGCAGTGAGGAAAGGGATGGGAACTTCCCTTGATCCAATTGTCTCATCAGCTACTACAAACCCTAGAATGCAGACTCCACTGCAAGAACTGAGAGGATACTGGTTCTTGACAGCAAATTCCTTTACTTCCTCGCCTCCTCCTGTCACTGGTACCTGTAAAGGATCTGCCCCAGATCCTCACATGTATCCCTAGGTCTGGGAAGTCTAAAACTCTTAGAAGATGAGAAGAGCAGTGAACAGTGCTGTTAGGAAAGACTGGTGAAGTCCCTAGTGTGTATCTTTACCCAATTGTGTGCTTTCAGCATTCCTTTACTTAGCTGAAAGTGTTTAGATCTTGGGACTCTAGCATGATTAGGATACTAGACTCAGCCTAGATCATTGCTAATTGCCCTTTCACTATTCCAAGCAGACTTTCCCACGTTAAGAATGGGTGCTCGTAGCATCCTGTTAACTGAGCATATAGCACTAGGCATTTGGGTTCCTGGGCTGATTCCCATCAGGCAATGAATGCCTTGAGGCACATGTAAGTCTGTGATCTCTAAAAGGAGCTGAGACTGCTTTACTTTACTGCTTTACTACAAGGAACCTGATAGGATTCCAGGAGAGTCTACTGCTTCTTTAACAGCCAGACAGACATATTTGCTCATCATTACCATATTAAAGGTATTAATAGTGGCATTTGTAGTAGAGAATCAGTGGGTATAACTTCTCACAACTTAATCAAATATCCACACATAAATCTGGAAACTGCTAAAGGTTGGAGATTTGTAAAAAACAGCAAGAAAGCCTCCTTTCTGCATCTTTCTCTGCCTTTCCATCAGTTTTGATGGCTTCTGTTCACCTAGGGCTTCCTTTGTGCATTGGAACTTAGTGTGATATACATGAGATCACCCCTATCCCCAGACGGGGGTTCTCTGTGTAATCCTGACTGTTCTCGAACTCAAGGAGATCCGCCAGCCTCTGCCTCCTATGTGCTGGGATTAAAGGTGTGTGCTACCACCACCAGGCTAAGAAAATTTTCTGTTAATACTAATGTCTTAGACTTTTTGTTGATTTGTCTTTTCAAAAAGATTGAGATCCAGTATCTCTGGTGCTTGGCATGGATTATTCCCTAGAAAAGATGCTCAGGCAAGTTGAAGTTCATATATCCTGTAGAGGCATAGTACTTGCTCAGGGAGTATGACTTTGGGGACATTTCATCTGTTGGTCAACTTTTTTTCCCACCTTGTTCTTTTTTCATTTCTTGTAGCCTCACTGCTAGGGGAAGTCTCATACAGTTAAATAGCATTTTTAACCATTATTAGAAATGGTCATAACAAGCTTAGAGGGAAATTGTTTTATGTACTTTTTAAAACATCTGCCAAATGCATTCATGAGGAAATACCGTACTTTGTCTCTAATTTAAAAAAAAAAAAAAGGAAAATTTAATTTGAAAAAAGAAAACCACAGTATACCGTTCCAAGAGGATAGCCTGACGAGGTCAGTCCAGTTTTGGAAGTGCTGTACCAGCCAACCCTTACTTGTTAGTAAGATTGCAGGCGGGACTCAGTGCTGTTTGCTTTGATAATCGTTAAGCCATATCATCTGAGGTTTCCGGCTTGAGATGTGAATTTGTTTTATAAACTATAAATATACAGTGTATGTATAAAGCAGAATGCCTGTCCTTCTGATTATTTTTTGTACCATATTGTAAATTACATTATTTATTCTTTACCAATTTTTTGGGAATAAAAGGTGTTTTGGTTATTTAATATAATAAACAAAAACTGTTAAACTTCAGCTAAAATTTCCAGTTCAGCTTGTAAATGTTTTTATTGTGCATAAATACATACTAATACTTGATCTAATGACTGTCTTTTGTTCCTACTTCTAAAGCCAGTATGCTTGAGATTCTGGCGAAGGCGCTATATTAGTGAGATGAGCCCTGAAACCAACCAGCACGGATGGGTATAGCAGGAGAGTTAGGCGAATCCTAAGGGGTAGGCAGAGGACCTCAGGGAAAAAGGTTGAATGACCGCTGAAAACAGAGAGGTGGAGGTCTTGGTACAGCCCGCTGCTTCTCTTTTGGGCATGGTCTGAGCTACCCTTGAACCCTTGCTTCCTCCTAAAGGCGTTGCAACCCCAAAGAAGCCAGCCACCACCCACCCCGAAACTTGCTTGGGGGGGGGAGGTCTTATGTCCGCATGGAAATGCAGATTTGTACCTTAGACTCGCTAGTGTCGGAGGGTGGGACGAGCTGTGGTCCAATGCCTGCGCCTAAAGCTGTGAGAGGCGGATGCCGGGGCCAATCGGCTGTAAGCGCGATGCGATGCTCTCCAAGCCTTTCTCTCATTGGTCAGGGAGAGGGGTGGGTTGTGACTCTGCGATAGGCTGCAGAAGTGTGATTGGCGCGGGAGGCGTCCAACGGGCTTGGGCGGGTCAGGGTACCTGCGCGGGACCAAGCGGGAACCGCCGCGCGGCTGCTAGAGAGACGCGGGGCGGCGGCCGACATGTTCCAGGGCGCGGACGGCCAGGCTGGCGAGTCGGGCTCCAGGTACGCAGGCCGGTGCTGGAGTCCGGGTGGGCGCGTAACTACAGCCGCCACGTGGAGGGCGGGAGACCCTACAGATGCAGTGGGTGTGGCTCGTGGCTCCCCTGAGGGTGCTCAGCGAGCTCTCCCGGGTTGGCTGAAGCCGGGCCTCGCAGGAAGGCTGGGGGTCGAGCGAGCGGAGTGGAGACCGGGCGGCGGGACGAAGACACGTGGCTCTCCTGAAGCGCTTGCCTATGGTAGACGATAGTCAGGCGCTGCCGAGCTCCGTTTGCCGGCTCCTGAATCTTTCCCGCGTCCAGCTTGCTTTGGGTTGGTTACAACGACCCTTGAATGTAGCTGAGTGGCGGCAGCAGTCTCTGACCCAACCCACAACCAGGTGTTCATCGGGTGCACGTCCTGGTCCTCCCTGGCCGGGGACCTTCCCAGCACAGTTTCATCTGGACTTTCCTTCTGTCTGATCTGCTTTGAGTGACAAAATGAAACTGGTGTTCATGACTTCCCGAGCTCCGGAAGTTAGTGGTGAAGTAGGCGTCCATGGACAGGATTTTAGGAAAAGGAGGAATTCCCCATTTGATATTGGAGTGAGGGCCAAGGGAAGAAAACTGCCGAGCTTGGATGATGGAAGTTTCAGTCTGGGCCATGTTCGGTAGAAACAGTGCTTTGGGTGGTATTTGACCCCGGTTGGGAGGAAGCTAGCGCCTAGGCAGACTGATTGCTTCAAAGTCTTTGATTTTTGCCTGCAGCTACTGTAAGGTTTCCATTTCAGGTCTTCCTCTCTTCTAACCCTGTCTTTTGTCTCCTTGCTGAAGGATTTTCTTGTGTTGGGGATTTTTGATGTTATTGCCGTCATTCACCCATTAAATGGATAATCGTGAAGAATGTGCCCACATTTGTTTCTCGTGCCCACACCTGACCAGTTCCTAAAAGTTTTTCTGAAGTTGCGGGAAGGTTCGGAGTCATTGATACTGTCGAGGCGTTTTGTGTGGCTTTTCATCTTAGTCTATATCTCTTATATTCTCTTGTATAATTTGAATATTTCTACTGAAAAAGGAAAAAGTAATTGGAATGTATTCCCACATTGTGAATTGGCCCTAAAATCTGAGCTGGCTAATCTCTTGTTAGCCCCTTCCATTCCATTGGTGTTACTGTGATAATGGCTGCTAGGAGCTTCCAGAAGGCCACACTGTGCCATTGTTCTGAGCCCTGTTTTTGAAAGGCCTATTGAACTCTCAATCCCATTTGTGAGACCCTGCTGGGGCAGCCTTAAGACTTGCGTTGCTGTTGTAGGCTGTGCAACTTGTGCTTGCCCCATTGTCTTTGGGAGGGAGATGGACACTGCTGCAGCCCAACTGGCCCATTATCTTTGTTAAATCTTCGTGTAGCACCACTTTCCTTGCTTGTTGTCAGATTAAACTCCAGACAAGTAGACAAAGCGATACTAAATCCTTAATTTCTATACCCATATTAGCATTAATTTCAATAACTGCCTTTGTCTTCTGCATTCCCGCCATGGACTCAGTTTGTCTCCTCCCGAGATGGCTTTGAGGTTTCAGGAACACGGTGCTTCTGTTGCATCATGCACATGGAACACAAACCATTGACGCAGACCTGGCTATACTGTTAGCTCTAGAGGTCCAGGCCATGCATGCACTCGATCATTCCGTGTTTTGCCTCTGGAAGTGGGTGTAGAATAACCACAGAGAGCCTGGGAAGGTGAGAATGTAGAGCCGAAATCAAACACCCAACAGGACACTAGTGGCTCGGAAAACACCTGTTTTCAAATAAACAGATGTGATTAAAATAAAGCTAGGAATATGCATGCCTGCAATCCCAGCTCGTGAGATGTGGAGAAAAAGGCACCATGAGTTCAGGGTTGGCGTTGGCTTTGTAGTGAATTTGAGGCCAGCACGATTAAGATCCTGACTCGGCGCTTTTCAGCCCCCAAATGAAAATGAAGTAGGAATTTTAACTCATACTCACATGCAACTTTATACTGAGTTTAGTTCGGTTTCAAAAGAGCTGACCATAGACCCAAAAGTATTAAACCTGACAAGAAAAGACTGGGGTGGTCAAAACTGGTTTGTGTCAATGGGCACTGATGGCAGGCAGTCTAACTTACCCATCAACGTTCATGGTCTAAATCTTTTTTTTTTTTTTGAGTTATATATATTTCTCTGCTCCCCTCCCTTCCTCTCTCCTCCCCTTCAACCCTCTCCCAAGGTCCCCATGCTCCCAATTTACTCAGGAGATCTTGTCTTTTTCTACTTCCCATGTAGATTAGGTCTATGTAAGTCTCTCTTAGGGTCCTCATTATTGTCTAGGTTCTCTGGGATTGTGATTTGTAGTCTGGTTTTCTTTGCTTAATGCTTAAAAAATCACTTATGAGTGAGTACATATGATAATTGTTTTTCTGGGTCTGGGTTACCTCACTCGATATGATATTTTCTAGCTCCATCCATTTGCCTGCAAATTTCAAGATGTCATTATTTTTTTCTGCTGTGTAGAACTCCACTGTGTAAACATAGCATGGTCTAAATCTTGTTGAGTCTTTTCTAATGGGCTTTTAGTTTTTTTCCCCTTTTCAAATGAACTTTTCTATCCCTTCCTAAGGCCCCTCAAATGCTAACTGTTGACGGGACAGGTTTTCCACATCCTCTTTCCTCCCTAAGAAGACAGTGACCTGGCACTGGTTCGGAGGCGTGTCCGTACATGCCTGGCATCTGCGGTGTTGAGTGTCCAGCCTTGATTTTCTGTTGAAGCGTGACTGGCACATTTTGTCAACCTTCTGTAGGGCACCTGAGATCCTCGCTTTATACTACTCTGCCTTAGAGCAGGCAATCTGAGAACTTGGTTCACATGACGCAGAAGTGGACTGACAGCCCTTTTACCTCTCCGGATGAAACAAACATATTTTAGATACGTTTGCTGTTGTTGTTAACCAACCCTTGAGTAGTTTCTGTTTGCATAGCTTTTCAGTCAGCTCTAACCTCCATTGTCTGAGGTCATCAGTCTCAATGCTCCCAGCTAGTGAAAGAGAGTGGAAGCCGGTGTGGTGCACACCTGTGCAGGCAGCCACACTTGCATAGATAACCTCTCTTGAAACCAGAGAGATGTGGACCATTCGCTGGATTAAAATTTACTTTCAAGCAGCCATGTATTGTTTTTAATTCTGAGATGGTCTTGGGTAGCCTTGGGTGGCGCTGCATTCTCTATATAGTGGAGGAAAACTTGTTTTGGTTTTGAGACAGGGTCTCTTTATGTCGGGTGCCCTGTCTGTCCTGGAACTTGTTATGCTACTTTCTTCTGTCTCCGGAGTGCTGGGGTTAAAGGCATGCCCCCACCTTGGCCAGGCTAAGGGTAACTTGAATACTGAACTTTCTACCAAGTGCTGAGATCCCAGGTATTGGCTACCATGCCTGACTAAAAGACATTTTAAAAAGTCTAACCAGGTGTTTGAAATAGGCATACAAAATCTTTCACCATATTGCAGTTGTGTATCTGCACTCTTGGACTTCTGAGGGCCATAGGTCGTCAGCTGCTACAGTAAAATCTATCTGCTTTCTAACTTCCCTGTAGTGCCTGGTGAAGTTTCCTTCCAAAGGTTAGACCTAAGGTAGGTGTTGCTGTTGGAAGCCACATTCTTTATGAGTGTTTAATTAAAAGCTGTGCTTGTAGAATATCAGTAGAGTTTAGAGGGGATGCCCATTGCCTATGCCCTGATCGGAAGTAAATAATGCTGCCAGTATGTTGGTTCTTTCTAGTCTAGGCATTTCACTGTTTACACCAGACATCCTAATATAGCAAGTCTTTACATGAGGAATTATCAGAGATGATGAACCTAAGAAAAAGAGAAACATGGAACTTGTTAAAAGACACATAAGAAGGGGTCTGTATTAAAACCCAGCAAAGGATCTAGGGTATAGGCTGCACCCTAATGCCTTCCTAAAGATCTCTGGGAAACATAAGAACACCTTTATCGTATACTTAATAGACCCCAGATTAGCACTTATGAGTTCCAGCAGGGGAGTCCCTGTCCCTGGCTACCTTGGCTACTAAGCAGAAGGTTGGTAAAGATAGGGACATGCTTACATGTAAACTATGTAGCAAAGTTGAGAGAGACAACATGGAAAGGAAAGCAAAATAGAATCTTTTTAAGCATAACTTTTGTCCTGATCAGAATCTAAAATGATATTGGCAGAGTATTAAAACTAATTTCTGGCTCGGCAGTGGTGGCCTTTAATCCCAGCACTCGGGGAGGCAGAGGCAGAGGCAGGTGAATCTCTGAGTTCGTGGCCACCCCTATCTACAGAGCTAGTTCCAGGAAAGCTAGGGCTGTTACACAGAGAAACCCTGTCTTGAAAAAGCAAAAACAAAAGAGCTAATTTCTGATCCTCGTTTCTATATGACTCTTAAAGAATGTAAAGTTCCATAAGTGGTTCACCTTATGTGTATGCATGTGTCTTTCTTGTAACCCAGCCTGAACTGTAAATCCTGCCTCAGTCTCTCCCAAGTGCCAATCAGACTTTGTACTGTCAGACTTTGTGATGAGCCCGCTTCTGTTCACATCATTACCATAGGGAAGCGGCCATCGACACGAGTCCTAATGAGTCCTGGGAGCCTGTGTATTGGCTGTCATTCACTTGTGTTCTCTCTGTTCATAGATCCATGAAGCCCCCAGGAGGAGAATCGAGCAATCTTTTTGGAAGTCCAGAAGAAGGTGTTCCTTCAAGCAAACCTAATAGGATGGCATCTAATATTTTTGGACCAACTGAAGAACCTAAAAACATACCAAAGCGGACAAATCCTCCAGGTGTGGTCTCTGTATTTCTTAGATCCCTTGGCCTTCGTTTTCGCCTGTTCATCTAAAATATTGCCTTGGGGCTTCTGTTGCTGTGGTGAAATACCAGGACCAAAGCAAGTTGGGGAGGAAAGGGTTTATTTGGCTCACACTTCCACATCACTGTTCATCCCTGAAAGAAGTCAGGAGAGAAGCACAGTTAGGGAACCTGGAGGCAGGAACTGATGCAGAAGCTATGAAGGAATACTGCTTCCTGGCTGGCTTGCTCATCATGGCTTGCTCAGCCTGCTCTCTTATAGAACCCAGGACCACCAGGCCAGGGATGGCTTGCCTACAGCTCACTCTTAGGAAGCATTTTCTTAATTGAAGTTCCCCCCTTCCGAAGACTACAGCTTGTGTCAAGATGACATAAAGTAGTTACGGGTTTGTTTTGTTTTGTTTTTTAAGATAGGGTTTCGCTCTGTAAACCAGGCTGACCTTGAACTCAAAGACACTTGCCTGCCTCTGCCTCCCTACTACCGTGACAAGAGACATGCCCTGTCATACCCAGATTGTTCTGGGTTTTTGCTTGGTTGCTTTTTGTTATTTGAAGACAGAGTTTTTCTGTGTAGCCCAGATTGTGAACTCAAAACCTTTCTGCTGTCTCCTGCATGCTAAGACTGCAGGTATGGACTACGTGCCTTCCTTTTCCTTTTATGTGATCCTTTCAGGAACTTTTTATAGCACCTTATCCCTTGTCTGCGGTCACCTTCTGTGTTGAAGGTGAGTAGAGCATCTTTAAGGTTCCATCTACTTAGCAGATGACTTGCCAAAGTTGCTGAGTCTCAGAACCCCTAATATTCTCAGGTTTCATCCAAATTGTGTGTTCAAATGTTTTGTGGTTTTTATTTTTTTTTAAGATTTATTTATTATGTATACAGTGTTCTTGTCTGTGTGTATGCCTGCAGGCCAGAGGAGGGCACCAGATCTCATTACAGATGGCTGTGAGCTACCATGTGGTTGCTGGGAATTGAACTCAGGATCTCTGGAAGAGCATACAGTGCTCTTAACCTCTGAGCCATCTCTCCAGCCCCTCAACTGTTTTTCTTAGGAAGAGTATTTTTTATAGTTGTTTGGTTTGGGGTGTTTTTTGTTTGTTTGTTTGTTTATTTGTTTTGTTGTTGTTGATGTTTTGGTTTGGTTGGTTGGTTGGTTTTGATTTTTGGCTTGGTTTGGTTTAGTTTGGTTTAGTTTTTGGAGACTGATTTCTCTGTGAACAGTCCTGCTGTCCTGTGACTCACTCTGTAGACCTTGCTGGCCTCAAACAGAGATCCGCCTGCCTCTGCCTTCTGAGTGCTGGGATTAAAGGCTGTTTCCTGAGTAGGGCTTACCTCAGCTTTGCCCTACAAGTGTTTGTGACAGTTATGTCCTGAAAACTTCCCTGTGTTATGTTTCACTTTTTTTTTAAATTTTTTAATGAGCAATGTCTGACCAAGAACTTCTAATTGTTACTCCCCTCCTCCCTTTGCTGACGGTTTAAACTCAGTGTATCTAGACAGTGGAGCACTCTACCACTGAGCCACAACCCCAGCTTTTGAGGTTTATGTTGTTATTTGGTTTTCATTGGCTTTTGAAAGATGGTTTCTCTGCATAGCCCTGTCTGTCCTGGAACTCATTCTGTAGACCATGTTGGCCTCAAACTCAACAGAGATCTGCCTGCCTCTGCCTCCCAAGTGCTGGGATTAAAGGAGTGCACCACCACTGCCTGGCTTGTTTGATTTTCAATGTTTCACCTTGAATTCTTAGTCTTTCTGCCTTAGTCTTCTGAGTTCTGTTACTAAGTGTGTTTCTTCGAGTTGAACCAAGCCAAATTTCCATAGTAAATAAAGTGAGCCTCTGGACAACACCAGGAATGAGTTGCCTTTGTGCTCACTGAATGCACTTCTTTATCTGTATCAGATAGTTTGATTTCCCTCGTCACCCTGTGTATCGTTTATTTCCATCTTACAGTTCAGAAGGTAGAGATGAAGGTTACTTACGAGATCACACAGTTAATGAATAACTCGGCAGGGACTCTCTTTCTGACAGCTCTGCTATGGAGCCCTTTACTTCACATTGTGTTGCCTTCTCCGGGCAAGAGTGCTCAGTGCGGGACTGGTGCCCAGGAGGTGTGTGAGTGAGGTTCATTTTACAGTTTTACAAAGATGCAGCCCTTATATATCCACCTCTAAGTGTATTATTTCTCCCTTAAAAAGACAGGCCCTCATTCAGTCTCCACTTTGTTTGTTTGTTTGGTTTTGGTGTTTCCAGACAGGATTTCTCTGTGTAACATCCCTAGGTGTCCTGGAACTTGCTCTCGTAGACCAGGCTGGCCTTGAACTCACAGAAATCCACCTGCCTCTGCCTCCCAAGTGCTGGGATTAAAGATGTGCACCACCACCACATGGCTTAGTCTCCGCTTTTACACACAATTACAAGCCTCCCCGGTAGCTACACTCCTGACCCTTACAGCCAGTGTCTTCCAGAAAGGTACTCTGCTCTGTCAGTAGGACCCTGAAAGGCCTTTTCTAGGTTTGTTAGCTAGCGAAAAATCCTCCAAAACGATTTTGGCGTTCCTGCTTTTCCTTTAGGTTGCTCTTGAGAGTTATGTGGTGACAATGTCCTATAAAGATTATTTTGAGTCTTTATTTACATAAAAATATGTCCATGGAGCCAGGTGGTGGTGCTGCCTTTAATCCCAGCACTCGGGAGGCGGAGGCAGGAGGATCCCTGAGTTCAAGGCCAACCTGGTCTACAGAGCAGTTCCAGGACTACACAGAGAAGCCCTGTCTTGAAGCCCCACCTCCCAAAAATGTCTGAGGAATGCTTTTTCGTTTATGGTGTTGTTTGGCTTTTCCTGGGGAGATGTAAACAGACTTTTGTTCACCTTAGATAGCCCATCAGTAACAGACCAAATAAACAGTCCATCCAAGTCCAGCTGGTCAACCACTGAGTTTACTAGAGTTGTTTATGGAGCGTCAGGGAAGGGTTACTTAGGGGCATAGTGGCTCCAGAACAGCTGCATCTCTCAAAGGCCTTTTTCAGTGTGGATGGTGACCTCCTAAAAGATGCACAGGTTTAATCCCCTCTTGAGGTCTGTACATTCTAACATTTCCTGAGGCCATGTGTATCTGGGTCATACAGCTAGATACAGTGGGGAGGGAGTGACTAGAATTCCAGGTGAGGGTGTAGCGACCCATCACTTACGAGGTCAGTAGTCCACAGGTCTCCTGCAGGTAGTCACAGCTACTCTGATTATGGCAATGGATGTTGTGCCTGGAAGACAGTGCTCCAAACCACATGGGAAGCATAGTTGGCATGTATTGATAATTCACACTATAGATGTTGTCTCGAGCATTTATCCAAGGAACTATAGCAACTTACAGAATCCTCATACAACCCAAGAAGTTGGTCCATTTGTTGTCCTTATCGTTAAGTTGAGGGATTGGAGGCCTAGAAAGGCAAGGTAGAGCAACATGGGTAGTCATTGAGGTGTTTCTTCTGTTATAGATTATAGCTAGCTCCTGTTGGTGTACTAAAGGCATGATTTGTCTGCCTCCATCTGGCGAAATGCTGTGGGGAAGGGGGTGCTTGGTATATACTGAGTGAAGACATCAGTTGCTGCTTTGTATCTTTCTGCCTAATGTAGGCATCCTTGTATAATGTCCAGGCCTCAGGCCATGAGGTCCTTTTGGGATGCGCTGTTTCTATCACAGCCTTGTAAACTCAAGGCGGGCAGCCAGGAGCACATCTCCTAACTTGTTGACATGTAGTCGTCCCTACAAGTTCTGGCCAGGAAGAGGTCAATGACTAACCTTATTTTCCAGATTATAGGTTCACCATGAATAACAGTGAATTAAACATTCAGTTATTTGCTTTTAATCTGTTTAAGAACTCTTCCTGATTAACAAAGGAGACTTTCAGCTGCAAAACTTGCCTTGTTCAGCATTAAGGGAACTCTGGGGAGAGGTGGTGTTTTATTCCTTCCACCTTTTAGAGTCCAGCCCAAGGACGGCTTGGCTGTGCACATGAAGGCTGCAGGCTGTGGCAGACCAGGTTAAGGATTAGTTGGGATGTAAGGCTTCAGGGACTTAAAGTAATTATTCTTCCCCTATTGCCCTGGACCGCAGGAAGGCATTAAGTCCTCACTGATAGGCTGTCTCTTGAGGTAACCGCAGTGGGGTGGGGTCAGATGGTGCTCTGGTTCACTGCGCTGTGACTGTTTCTACAGGAGGCAAAGGAAGTGGTATCTTTGATGCATCAACTCCTGTGCAGACTCGACAGCGACTGAACCCACCTGGCGGGAAGACTAGTGACATATTTGGGTCCCCAGTCTCTGCCACTGCACCCCTGGCACACCCAAACAAGCCCAAGGTATGGACAACATTCAAATAGCAGACAGAAGGGGAAAAAGTTGTGCCAACTTAACTTTTCTAAAAGTTCCAACGCAGCTGTGACATATCATTAGGAAGAGTCAGACAGTGTTGGTTTTCCCAGCATGGTCGGTCATTCATCATTAGGTTTGGAGTCACCCAGAAAACGTTTCAACCTCCTAACCCTGGGAAGTAGTTATGTTCACCTCTCTGCACAGCAGCTGCCAAGCACCATCTGCTACCCGACTGTGTACACGAGGTCTGGTGACCGAGCACATTGCATGAGGGGTTGGCTCTCATTGGTTTTTGGAAGGAAGATGTTGGGTTTGTTGTTTCTTTAGTACTAGAGATTAAACCTGGGCCTTCATACACTCTAGACAAATGTTTTACCCGTGAACTCCCTCTGCAGCCCAGGAGTATAGCTCTTGAAGGGCTTTTCTCCACACAAGGTTGACCTTGTATTATCTTTGAGGGTTTATGGTCCTTGGCAAACAGTCGCAGGCCTCTGATCCAGTGAAGGCTCCAACACAGGAGCTGCTGGGAAAGCACTACCAGAGCACTGTGACTTTGGACTTGACCTTTGGATGTACTGATTAGATCTCTAAACACCCTGACCTGGGGCAGAGGCTTGGCCAAAGCCAGTCTTAGCTTCCCTGTGTCCCAGAGCTTATTGGTAATGAAACCCAGAACTATATTATTGTTATAATTGTTAGCAATATCTTTGTTTTATTTACTATTTTTTTATTTAAAATTTTCTTAGATTTTTAGATTTGTGTGTACAAGTATTTTGCCTATGTGCATGTTTGTGCACATGTGTGCACCTGGTATCTAATGAGGTCAGAGGGCATCAGATCCTCTTGCGGAGGCAAGGGTGACAGTGAGCTAACGTCACTGTTGCAGTTCAGCAGGGTCCATGGGACTCAGTCACAAGTCTCTGTCTTGCATGCTAGAGACGCACCTAACCACTGAGCAGCACTCTAGCCTAGCAATTTGTTTATTGTAAAATTGTCTTATTTTTAATTATGTGTAGGTGTGACAGCATGAGGGTGTGTGCATGTGAGTATAGGGATGCTCGGGGTCCTCATTCCCCTAAAGCAGTAGTTACAGACAGTTCTAACTGGGAACTCATCTCAGATCCTGTGGAAGAACAGCAAGAGGTCTTAACCACTGCACCATCTCTCTAGCCCATGTTTTAAAAGTTAAAAATAAAGCAGACGTAGCCTGATGGTGGGACATTTTAATCCCAGCACTTGGGAGGCAGAGGCAGGCAGATCTCTGTGAGTTTGAGGCCAGTCTGGTCTACAGAGCATGTCCCAGGACAGCCAGGGCTACACAGAGAAACCCTGTCTCAAAAACGAACGAATGAATGAATGAATGAAGCAGACCCTATGACCCTAGCTGTTCAGGAACCTAAGGATTAATACCTGCCTACATTCAGGGTGAGTTCAAGCCTAGACTGAAAATTTTAATGAGAGCCTGTCTCAAAAAGTAAAAAAAAAAAAAGCAACAACAAAAAAAAAAACTTGAGGATGTAGGCCTGGTGGTAGAATGCTTCTCTAGCAGGGATGAGGTCCTAGGTTCAAGCCTTAGGTAGGTAGAAAGGTCATCCTCTGATTTTTATTGTCTACCTGAATGAGCACTAACCTGAAGACTCGTCTTGTTGTAGGATCATGTTTTGCTATGTGAAGGTGAAGACTCTAAATCGGACCTGAAAGGTAAGTATATTTCCTGCCTATTATGCTGGGAGAGTTCCTAGTGGATTTGACAAACAAAAGGATAGCATTTCTCTGCTTTCCAAGACAGCTGACCAAAGCAAGCATAAGGGAATGGCTTGGGGCTGGAGAGATGGCTCAGTCAGTGGCTGTTCTTCCAGAGGACCCAGGTTCAATTCTCAACCCCCACATGGCAGTTCATAGCTAGCTATAACAAAGGTTTCAGGGGATCTGGCACCCTCACACGGACATACATGTAGGCAAAACACCAATGTACATTAGATAGACAGACAGACAAACAGACAGAGTGGATAAGGGGGTGTAGTGTTTGAAAAAGGCTGGGGTCAGGGCTGGAGAGATGGCTCAGAAGTTAAGAGCACTGACTGCTCTTTCAGAGGACCTGACTTCAGTTCCTAGCATGGTGGCTCACAGCCTTCTAAAATGAGATCTGGTGCCCTCTTCTGACGTGCAGGCAGAACACTATATACATAAATAACTCTTTAAAAATAAATAAAGAAAGCTCAAGTCATGAGCATAATTACTTCTGGTAATACTTTTAGGTTTTCTTTCCTTCTGGAGCAGTGGTTCTCAGCCTTCCTAATGCTGCAACCCTTTATAACACTTTATTTACTACAGTTCCTCATGTTGTGATGGCTTCCACCATCAAATTATTTTCATTGCTACTTTGTAATTGTAATTTCACTACTGTTAAGAATCATATTGTAAAAATCTGTGTTTTTTATTGGCCTTGAATGACCCCTGTGAAAGGGTCGTTCATTTCACAAAGGAGTCGTGACTCATAGGTGGAGACAGGTGGAGAGCCACTGGTCCAGAAAGAAGCTCGTTGTGAGGTAGGAGGGGTAGGGATCCAGAATGCTTCATGAGCTTGAGACCAAGTGAGAGCCAGTAGAGCTGAGAGCTTACCTAATGTGCTGTGACACTTTCAGTTAGTGTAGCTTGCTTCATAGTGTAGTTGCTGCCTCTCACAGACAGATAATGGCTTTGTCCCACAGATACAACAAACTCACCCCGAGGAGAGCAGAGTGAGAAGGGAAGCTCAAAAGAAGCAGACCGTGCCAAGATACCAGAGCCTACACCTACAGTTGACAGCCATGAGCCCAGACTGGGACCGCGGCCTCGGTCCCACAACAAGGTCCTGAACCCACCAGGAGGCAAATCCAGCATCTCCTTCTATTGAGAGGCTCCTCCTCTGCCTGTACTCAGACCGGAAACTCAGAGATAGGATATTGAAATGTTAGTGCTTCCTTTAACCCAAATGCGTCGGGGTGGGAGAGGGGTTGTCATGTGTGTGGGGTTGCCTGCTCATAGGCCTTGATGCCTTTGGAGGAGCTGCAGAAGGACTGTGCCTTCCAGACTGCCAAGATACACATCTGTGGGGATAAAGTGGGGAGCTCTTACGCCTCCTCTGTAGTTGTTCTGTGTGGAACAGTAAGGTTCTGGGAAGGGCGAAAGAGACGGCACCCGTTAGCAGAAGGCTCGTTAGGGTCTGTCTCACCCTTGTACCAACGGTCTGCTGGCTGCTGGGAGTAGAAGAATGGTGGTTCGGCTGGGAAAGAAAGGAAAAAAACCAAACCACCTATCCCTCACTGTGAGGTGGAGGAGAAACACATAGACAAAAACTCTTAAAGACAGTGAGGTCTACATAGCCTTTCCTTTCAGGGAATGCATATCACCAAAATGTTTCCACCTCTGAGGTTACCTCTGAGCCCTAATGTCTCCTTTTCCTTTTGTTCCCCTCAGTACGTCACCCTATAGTGTTGGAATGTGACTGCTCTTTTTGGTAGCAGTCAACAGAAAATCAAACAGTTATTCTCAGTCTTGTCCTGAGTGGAAGGTTTGGATACCCTGATCCTCTGATTGTAGTCTCCTTCCTGCACCTAAAACCGTGGCCAGGTCTAGGTAGCAGCCTGTCTTCCTTTATGGTTGGTTTGGTTCCTGCCATGCCAGGTTTGCATATGGGTTGTTCCTTTTGTTTCTCTCATCAGCCTTGAGTCTAGCCTTAGTTCCTCACCTGTGAGGGCTCTTGCTATCTGTGGTTCTTCCTGTACATAAGGCCTCAACCTCTGCAGGGCTTTAAAGACTACTCAAATATGTCCAGGTATTGGGTGAATTTTTGGTTTTCCCATCTCTCTGTTCCTGTAGTTGGGAGGAAGACCTGCTGAAGAACACTGGGTTGGGCAGGTTTCTTTACCCATCTGCAGAAAACGTCGCTGTACACCAAAGCAGAAGAGCGGCCTAAGCCACCGTTAGAAAGCTGCTTAACCTTGTTCATAAACAGTGCCCCTTAGGCCTGGATAGTAAGGATTTTGGCAATAAGGTCACGACTGTCATTTGACAGCAGAGATCCTGGGCTCCACAGCCATGCTGCCTGCTGCCCGGTATTTCATATCAGGCACATCTCCGTCCTGTTCAGCCTTAGTTCCTTGGTTCCTGCTTGTGGTGGGTGTCTGTGAAAGGGCTCCTGAGTGGTGCTACAGAGCGTTATAGCAGACGCCAGAAATGTCCTCATCAAAGTTTGGGGAAGCAACAGTTCTGCAGTCACGATCGTTGACCTAGATGCTCAAGTGCCTGCAGTGTTCTGCTTGCGACACCTGGTTCATTGAGGGCTTTGTCAACCAAAGAGTTTTTACCTTCCAGCTGCCCTGTTTCCTGAAGCCAAGAAACTTGTATTACATGTATGTAATTCTGTAACAACTCAAATGGGTTGTGGTTAAGTCATGAGGATGTCGTTTGGAATTCAGAGTATTTTTTCCATTTAAGAAAATGTCATAAATGTTTGCTTTATTTAGCCCAGACTCTAACATCTTTAACTTATAAGGAAATGATACAGTGATAGAAATAAACCTCCTTTTGTAACTGCTTTCTTAAGTAGAAAATGATTTGTGAATTCCAAATTGAATTATCAAGAAAAAAGTCAGACATCACTGTGCTGGCCCTGCTGCTGGTCCAGCGAGAGAAGAGCTCTGAGCACCACTTGCTGGCCTGGATGGCTGAGAGACTATGGGAACCCGAGACAGTGACCCACAGCAGCTGCCTTACTCGACTCTCCTATCTTTCTCTGAAACTGGGCCCAGAGCATGGCCAGATGGCCAGTCTGCCACCTAGGAAGAGGCCCTGCCCAGCTAAACCCAGTGGTATACAGTTCTCACACCTGCATTAAGCCTTAACACTTTGTTTAAGTGCATTTGGTGCCAACATTTTTCTAACACTATGTCAGAGCAAGAAACCTGTCCTTACATCATAATGCAATTTTGTAGGAATGTTGTGTTATTTTTATGAGACAAAACTGGGTATAATGGTTGAATTAAACTTAGTAACCACATACTTAAAGCCTGTGTGTATTTGTGTGAACACACTCCTCCATTGCATGCGTGCGTGCGTGTGTGTGTGTGTTTGAGAGGGAACAATACCTAAACTGTGATCCTTTTTCATGGTTTTCTACTTATAAAGATGACTCCTCCATTCCTTGGTCTTAATCCAGAAATGCCCGAGATAATCATCTCTAAGATTTGGGCAGAATTAATGGGCAATATGCTGTAATGTACTGTCTAGTTTTCTGTAGTTGAAGTGTATTCTTTAGGACAAGTGATGTGGGGAAACTTAACCTGCTCCAGCTTGACTTTGAAATAACCCAGTAACAAGTCTTGCAGTGGCAAGGTGGGGTGTCCTGCTATTCAGCTTTGTTGAGAAAATTCGGGTAGGATATCTTTCCTTTGTATCATCTGTTTTCATATGGTCGGCCAAACTCCATGTCCTCATGTAAATTATATGGATTGTGGCAGAGTGACTGCCTGCTTGGTGTATCCCAGGAAGACAGCTCAGACATGGTTTAAAGCAATAGAAAGTCTTTATTAACCGGCCAGCGGGGCCCTGACCCTTTCTCGGGGTGAGCTTTTAAGCACAAAGCAATGTCCTGGGTTGACACACTTCAGTTAACAAGAACGTGTAGCCAGAAGTGGAACTATAAATGCCAAAAAAAAAAAACAACATTTAGAGACTTTCCCAAAACTATAGACTGAAAGGCTTAGGCCTGGGTTATCTTTTTTGGCAGGTGGCGCTGCCTACATGCTGAATTTACAGCCTGAATGGCGCTTCCATCATGGAGTCAGTCCTAAGGTCTGGGGCTCTGTTACATTCCTCGCTGGTCTTAGTGAATGAGCCAAAACATGGACTCATCCTCTTTAAGTTTAAAATTCAGGGTCCCGATGTTAATCCAGTCAGAATGAGAAAGGCCCAGCCAGAACTGGGCCGTGGTGGAGGCTGCCTTTAATCCCAGCACTGGTGGCAGAGGCAAGCGCATCTCTGTGAATTCAAGACCAGCCTGATCTACAAAGGGAGTTCTAGGACAGCCAGAGAAACCCTGTCTTGAAAGATAATCAATCAATAAATAAAGGCCCAGCCAGTGTTGATAGCAAAGTAGTTAGCCAAGGAGACCTAGAGAAGAAGACTGGTTATTTCCCTAACCATGGCAAGATTTTCTCTAATTACTCCTGATCAGTCTGCACTCAAACAACAGGTATCTCCCAAAGCCACACATAGGCTTTTGGTTATTCATTTCTGTTTTTGTTTTTTATCACGAGAGGTCTAAACCTGTCCAATTTTGCAGGATCATTTATTTCTGCAAGGGAGTCTCACTGTTGTTTTAATGCCTCTAAGTTCTTTCTTATTTATTTATTTATTATGTATACAATATTCTATCTACATGTATGTCTGCAGGCCAGAAGAGGGCACCAGACCTCATTACAGATGGTTGTGAGCCACCATGTGGTTGCTAGGAATTGAACTCAGGACCTTTGGAAGAGCAGGCAATGCTCTTAACCACTGAGCCATCTCTCCAGCCCTATGCCTCTAAGTTCTTGATCAACTTGTCTACTTAGTTTTGAGAGCATCAGAAGAGGCATATTTATATTTAGTCAAACCATTGCTATATGCCTGCCAAGTAGTCTTAGGGTCTCAGTAATGTTGCTGTTATCCAGATGAATTAACCCATAAGGCAGAATAGCAGGCATCAGAATAAGGCAGAGTGCTAGATTAAAGTTTAGAATATTAGTTTCACAAGATCAGTGCCGAAACAGATCCGGGTGGTGGTGGCTCACACCTTCAATTCCAGTACTAAGGGAGTCAGTCACACGCCTTTAATCCCAGCACTAGAGAAAATATAAAACGGGAGAAGACAGGCTCAGGGCTTAGTCTGCAGTCGCCTGGCCTTGTCAGAGGTAAGATTTTTCTAGTGGCTTGGCTGTCTCGAAAAATCAAATAATTAAAAGTCCAAAATTCAAAGTCTCTTCTGAGATTCATGCACTCTCTTAATTATAATCTCCTGTAAAATCAAAAAGCAGATCTCATACTTCCAATATATAATGGCATAGGATATAAATTACCATTCCAAAACGTAGGGATGAGAGCACAGTGAGGAAATATTGGACCACAGCAAGACTGAAAACCAGTTGGGCAAACAACCAAATTCTGAGTCTCCATGTCTGATGTCAAAATGCTGTTCAGATCTCCAACTCCTTTCATCTTTGTTGACAGCAACACTTCTTTCTCTCAGGCTGTTTCCACCCCGTTCGCAGTTTTCCTCAGCAGGTGTCCCACAGCTCGGGCACAGGCCATTTCCATGGCCTACGTTTGGGTTAAAACCCTTTTAATAATGCCTGTCGTGAACAAATAGCTGAAAAGGTTTTGAGATATCTGGAAATGTTAGGGCTGGAGCTGAAGTTAGCTGTTTTTAAAGCATCAAATCCCTTTTGCTCAGTCAGTCCAATTGAGGGCTCATTGCCCCTCTTTTTGCTGATGTATAGAAGCCTTGCTATTTCCACAAACTGGTAATCAGAGGCAGCAATGCCCGGCTGCACCTAGGAACTCTCAACCTCTCTCTTAGTCTTTGGAGCTGGAATCCGAAGGACTGCAACAATCCTAATCAGAGAAAGGCTCTTTTTGCTTCCCCTCAGCTGGTGGCCAAGGTAGCCTCTCATGTACAAAGTTGGTTTTCTTAGTGAACATTCTGTAGCTCAGGATCTGTAACTTTTGCAGCCATCCCTTAGTGGACCCTTTACAGCTGTTTTCCTGGGAGACCTGACAGCTCTTAGTGTCTCGTTAAATAGGGTTGGAGAATTCTTTAAATCCTTGGGACAACCTGTACCCACTGTAACTTCACTCTGGGTCTGTCCATTTAAAAGCAAAAGATGGATTGACTCACTTCTGCCAGTGTGTGGCCATGTTTCAGGTCCAAGATAGTGTACACCTGTTCCTCTGAAAGAATGGGAGATCTCAGATTTCTTCATAGGCGTGAAAGGTGTATTCCAAGGTGACTAGCAGGGCACCAGGATGCGCCTCTCTCTCTAAGCTAGGCACTATGCACTGCAATTTCCCTCTTTCTTTCCAGGGTCATTGGGTACTGTTTAATCTGGAAGGGGTTAACTGAACTGGTAGGAACTTGGTGTTGTGTTCCAGTCCTGGGTGGGGGGGATGGTTCTGTCAGCAATCACAACTCCAGTCACCACCCTGCTTCTCTGGCAGTGGCCGGGTCACTCAGACCACCTGGCAGAAATTCTGTTCCCTCAGGTACCGGCTCTGCTGCTGCCACTAAAGGTAGAAAGGTAGTTTTAACTAAATCTCTATCACTCTGTAAGTAAGACTTGAGCTTCGAAGGTTGGGGTGAAAATCTGCTAGCTCAGAGAGGTTGAGTAGCAGCTAACTAAACTCTCCTTTCTCCACCAAACAAGAAAAGCTGTGCCACTCCCTCCCTACTCCTGGTGCTGGTCTCTCTCTCTTCCAGATGCCCCCTGATACTCTCTGGTTACTTTCTGTCAACTAGTTGCTAACTCAGCATCCTGACCCAAGGTTAATTTTATTTAATTAATACAAATGCAAACTTGAGGTTCACAGTGTTATTAAATATTGCCCAACACTGAGCCTTTCTCAGGGTGAGCTTTTAAGCACAAAAACCATGTTCTGGCTTGACATACTTCAGTTAACAAGATCAGTTAGCCAGAAGCAGAACTACAAAAGCCAAAAAGCAAGGTTAGTGCATTTAGAGACTTTCCCAGAACTATAGATTTTGATGAATAAGGTCTTCACTTTCATTTTTGGCAGGTGGTGCTGTCTACATCCTTAATTTTATAGCCTGAATGGCACTTCCATCATGTTGTTAGTTGTGCTAAATTCTAGGGGCCCTGCTACAGAACAGTTCATCTCTTAGGGTAGGTATTTATCTATATAGCAAATTATGTTGCCAAGTGTTGGTGGTGCAAGGCTTTAATCCCAGCACTGGAGAAGGCAGAGGTCGGTGGATCTCTAAGTTCAAGATCAGTCTGGTCTACAAAATGGGTTCTGGGACAGCCAGGACAACATAGAGAAATCCTGTTATCGAAGAAACCAAAAGAAACAACAACAAAACAACAACAAATTATGTTTCAAACAGGATTTATAGCTCAAGTGATAGTATGTGCGCTTAGTCCCAGCTAAATGGCAGAATCGGGCAGGTCTATATGCGTTTGAGGCCAGACATAGCAAGTTACAGGTCAGTGAGTGCTACATAGTACACACACACACACACACACACACACACACACACACTCCGAGCAATGCTTTAAGTGTTCTGGATGTCAGCTACAGGACTCGTTGGCGTAGTTGAGAGTAAGATCTGGTGGCTGAGAGATGGTTCAGCGGTCCACAGCACTTGCTTTTACAGAGGTCTTCTGTTCAGTTCTAGAGCCATCCATATGGCTGCTCACAAAGGACTGTAACTCCAATTCAGACACCCTCTTCTAGGAGGAGGGAAATCATCCGTTAGCAGAAAGCAGTCAGTTTCCACGCGGCGCCACAGTTCAAAGTCAGGCTCATGGTGTCCCCAGCAAATGAACACAGTTCGACTCGCTTTATATTCCGGCTTCAAAGTTCTGCTACACATAAGGACCCTAGAGCCCCGGCGAGCGGTGCAGATAGATCACTGCTTGGAACTATGCAATCAGCAGAGTGTGAAACAGCCAGAAACAGGGCACGCAACGCACGTCGCATGAACATCAAGGTCGGCTATAGTGTATTACAAAAGTCTTACAAAAGTCTGAAGACAAACCGGACAGAGACACAGAACCAGCCAGCTCTCCCCAGCCTCAACGAGCCTGCCTAGTCAAACACCACCCGCTACGCCGCCGGAAACTTTCCAGCCGCGTTTCCTCTAACGTCAGGGCGCACGACTCAGGGCGGGGCAGGATGAGGCTCCACCTCCGCGACCAGGCGGGACTTCCGGCAAGGGAGTGACGGGCGCGGCCTGGGCGGCGGCGGCGGCGGCGGCGGAGCATCCTAAGGTGGCGGCTGCCT